ATTTGAGATGTTGCGTAAATTACAGAAGGAGGGAGGGGTGGTACTGAGAAGGGGCTGGGTTTATGGAGCGGGGGAGATTGTTGCGCAACAGTTGGTTTTTTGTTTTTTGTGTTACCATTTCGACAAGCGGCAGCCACCACCTAAACAACAAGAAGAAAGGAAGGCTACCGTTCGAGGAAGAAGTTTGAGATACCCTTTAGGAATAGTGCTTTTGTAAGATGTATATGATACAGTTTAAGGCAAAGATGTAGGATGTAGTAATCCGGTCTTGGCCAAGACCAAGACCTTTGCATGAGAAAAATAAAGATCTGTGGAAAGTTACAGCCAGATAGCATTGCAATCTCCGAAGAAATCGACTATTTTTATCAATAATGAATAAAGAAAGTACATATGTATATTATATATTTCTATAGGAAGTAATGTACTATACATTCCTCCTTTTATGGTAAACACCTCCTCAAAATCATAATACTCTTCTGCGCCAGGGTACAAGGTGCCTTGTAGTGTAACAAAATTGCGCGCCAAAGGAAAACGTGATTTTCCACTTTTGATTTTGTTTTTTCTTTGGGTTTTAAGGCGCGCACCACACTCTCGCGCCCAAAAGGAGTCCGCTTTTGCCGGGAGTCGTCTCCAGCGATTCTCACGTAACCGCAGACACTGCCACAACATCAACAACAACAACAACAGCTTTAGCTGCAACATATGTTGCTACAGCTCCAGGCTGAGGCTCAGCTCAGCTCGGCTCGGCCCGATCCCGCATCGGAGTCCGCGTTGGGGTAGCCGCCAACCGGTTGGGTAACTGGATGTCTGCCATATCGGGGGGGTCTCTGGCTCTGGCACTCCATTGAGGGAGCCTCCACGCTCCACGCTGGCTGCCACTTTTACTCTCGTTTTGGCCATAGACAGCGGAAATGGCCGCAATAATTTGTTGGCAATTTATTTCATTGCGTTAGCTGATTTAATAAATCTCAAACTCTGATGGATGCTGGCTCTTAACACGCGAATACCTAGCGAATTATGAGTAATTGTGAGTGGCTTCTTGTCTATGAGAAAGTGAAGGAGATAAAACTGTAGCAAAGGGATTTACGTATACCCTTTCTGCTGCAGATGATGATGGAAATTAACCTACAAGAAAATGGGATGAAATATGTACGACCAAACTCGCAATTTCCCCTTAAAGTTAACTTTTTGGATCTTCGAAATATATCTGTGGCTGTATCTTTCATTGATGTTGATTAAGAGATTGAATATGCCTGGCAAGTACCTTTCGTTTCTGTTGCAAAAAAGAGGTAGAGATATATAAACGTATATCAATTCGGGAATAATACCCATTGAATGTACAATTCATTCCTTTCTTCTTCCATCACTTCCCCGAAAAACAAATTAAAGAAAGTGTTGGACTTTCAGACAGACACCTTTCTTCTCTCCCGCTGATGTAATCGATGATATTTCTTTGTGCAAACCGTAATTAATGATGGATAGTGTTACCTGTGACAGGTGTTAGTCATTATGGCCATAAATCAATAAGGGTATTTGCATGTAGGAGCATATCTGCCAAAGCAAAAGGCAGAGCAATGTTCCGTCCCCGCCATTAAAGGAAGTTCATTCTTTGCGGTTCAATTATTCCGAAATAAATGTGTTTCAACAATTAATTAAAGCGCCATAAGTTGCCAGAATGGAGGGAGAGTCGCCGGTAGATGAATAATAAGCGGGTAACGAGCACGAAATTATAATAAAAATGTCAGCGTAGTCGAAAATTAGCCTCCAGTCTCGACTTAGAGTACTCCTCCCACTGCCTTTTTTGGAGATGTTGATGATATTTATGACGGAATGAGCAGCGTAATGCTGAAACGTGCGGGTGGTAGAATAATTGGCCAAAAGAATCTTAATGCGGCAGTCAACCTTAACCGTGAGCCAATCCCAGTCGAAATCTCATCTGCATAACGCATACGCAGTGGTGAACCGGTTGCTGCAAAAACACTTTCACATGCCGCATTTCCGCACGCAACTCTGCTGCTGCTGCAAGTTGTATGTTACATGTTGCACAACAACAACAGCAGCAGCAGCAGAAACTGCAACTCTGTCACCTTGACTCTGAAACGTGCCTGCCCCCAAACGCTGCCCCACCGGAAAGCCACCGACTGATTGACTGCTGCCTCTTTGGGGGCCCGAAGCAGCTGTCTACGGATGCCATTTGTTTGTCCAGTCCCCCCCATTTGGAGCAGTTTTTTACTAATCAACGACATTAACGCTTTCTTGCAGCTGCTGGCATTCGTTGCCCTGGCAGCGTTTACTTCGGGGATTGGAGCCAGCCAAAGTCCCAGCTCCAGTCAGTACCACATCCAGACGGACGAGGGGCCCGAGCGGTATTTCCGCTTCCAGACGGACAACGGACAGTTCCGGAAGGAGAAGCGTCTCCAGGATGGCACTGTCATAGGTGAGTGGACTGCAGCAGTACCATAAAGTGGTGGTCATTCACCTTTTTGCTTGCTTTCATCGCCCCCTGACAGGCACTGAGGCATGGATCGATGCGGCAGGGTATCTGCGGCAGAAGGACTACATAGCCGACAAACAGGGCTATAGGATCCTCAAGTCCAAGACCATCTATGTGGGCCAGGGACGTCCCATTGAGGTATGTCTATGCTCCCGCTCTCCCCTTAACCTCTCTCATGATTCGTTTGCCCCACAGGATGCCATCAAATCCACCAAGTCAGCGCCTGCGCAATCGGGCATTCTGGTCGATGGCGGTTCTTCTGGTTCTGGTTCTGGTTCTGGTTCGAGAAACACATTTGGCGGCTACCAAAGGCCCGCCTATGGCTACGTTAGTTCCACCACTTCGACTACCACTCAATCACCTCCTCGGGATTTGCAGCTGGACTTGGATCCGCTGGTGGATTCGGGAGTGGGAAAGCTGAACTATTTGCCGCCAGAAGAGGCGGCCAAGATCCAGCCGCAGTCCCAGCTGGGATTCGATCACTATCCGGACGAGCTGCCTCGGGCAAGGGGCCAGCTATTGTCCGGTCAGCACTCGCCCCTGGTGCACATTCAGCCAAATGCAGAGCCCGTGGACAATGGCCTCAATGCCATAAACGTGTATGATGCAGAGGCGGATCGGGACTTTGGACACGGACGATTCGGATCGGTGATCAGCTCCACGACTCCCCAACCGCCTCTACTCTCAATGCTGCCACCGTTGGGATCACCGCATAGACGCCGCCTGCGTCCGCGTCCCACTGCCATTGGGATTGTGGCGAGCACTCCATCGCCCATTGCTGCAGGGGACTCCTATGGATTTTCCGCTCCAGCGCCTTTTGCTGCACCGCCTTCTGTTGCCCCACCTTCTGTTGCCTCTGGGTATAATTATGCGCCCTCACCCACGCCATCCACGAGTGGGTATGCACCCTCATCCTCCAACAGTGGGTATGGATACTACTCGCCCAATTCCCCGCTGGCGGTTAATTCCCTGGAGGCTGCACTACTGCCACCGCTCCCATCCCGAGCCTACCGCCGCCGCCTGCGTCCGGTGCAGAGCAATCACTTGGACGAGCTCAGTGCCGCGGGATACGATGGTGTGGGCGTCACCAGGAACGGATTCCGCTATGTCCTCCCGAAGCAGTACCACGAGGAGGAGACGAGCGCGGCGGATGGGAAGCGAGCCGGCAGCTTCGGCTACGTTGATCCCTTCGGCATCCGTCGCGTGGTCTACTATAATGCCTCGCCGGGACGAGGCTTCGTCCACAGGAACAACAATCAGTACGTGGGTGCGAATGGAGCGCCCTACGATGAGCCCGGACCCGCGCAGCTGGTGAATGAGTAGTGTCCGCCCAGTAGTGTCCTTACAGATGGGGGTGCACCTCCAGCTAATCCACTCACCTACTCACCGAAGCACTGCCTCCAAGGTCGAGTCTCTTCCCGAAGCACTGCCTCCCAGTGGACCCATTCGCCGAAGCTATGCCTCCTGGTGGAGCCTCTCTCACATGAAGCACCAAAACTAACCGTAGAACCTCAGAATAACACTTAAGATTAACCATGTACATAATCCCCGCTTTTAGCATCACATTCTCTCTCTCTATCGATTCCTCACCCTATGGCTCTATATCTCTTACACACACACACACATACACACACACACACACACACACACAAAGAAAACGACATCTGTGTTAATTAATTTAATGCTTAATCACATTTAAATGTAACTTAATTTATAAACGAACATTTTGTATGCAATTAGCGCCTAGAACTAGATACGTTAGGGGTACTCACAGCCACCACATCACTGCTCCCCAAACAAATGAAAACAAGTGTTGTCAAATGTTGTAGAGTGTTGCAAAGTAAAGTGTTGAAGTGAGATGCAACTCTGACAAGTGCTGCAAAGTGATGAAGTGAGGAGGAGCATTCGTTTCATGTATTAATCTTGCCATATTAACGAAAAGTAATTAAACAAAGCGCGCCGCCCCACTCTCACTCCCCATCGCAACACAGCTATCCAATCCTTAGCACATAATATGTACGATAAAAACGATACGATTAAACCCGATACATGATACGTTTCTTTGCCAATAGCTGTTCATTGAATGTAAAGCGACTTGTTAAGATTATAGCGAAAGTTTTTTTTTTATAAATGAATGAGCACCCGTTGCCAAGAAACCTCTAGCAAAGTACGACCGTTCTTTGTATAATTCTTAAGAAATATATATTTTTTTTTAATAAAATAAATAATTATGTATTTAAAAGCCAATGTAATGGGGATGGTTTTTTGGAATAGCCAGGGGATTGGATTCAAGGGATTTACTTGTGCCTTTCATGAGTTTGCATTCGAATTTTCAAAGTGACAAGGAGATCATAGGTTTGTTAGATCCATATCCCAGGGCGGATCTATGACTTTGGGGAAATTGGGATCCCAGTAATCAGTTAATAATCCCTCATTCCAAGCCGTGTTCGTTTGAAACTAGATTTTTACTCTCTTGCTTCTCAGTTTTCCGATTCCCCAAATTTTACGCAAACGGATGTTGGATAAGAATCATCACCATTAAGAATCAACACCCATTAACTTCAAATCGTATCACAACCGAAAACTGTTAGACCACTCGGTAAGTGAATCTATTGTTCGAGGAACATCGAACCATGAATGTGTTGTGTTCTTTGCTGCCTCTGCTCGTCATGAGCTTCACTTGGCTGCCGATGGAGACAAAAGCTGGCAATATACTATGTCTCGTGGGCACTGCCCGCCACAACAATCCGGGATGGATGCAGCCCCTCTTCGAGACCTTGGCCGAACGCGGACACAGTCTCACCGTTCTGAGCACTGCTCCAGTTCCAAAAAAAAATATAGAAGGTATCACTGTCTTCTCGCTGCCCAACAATTACGATGTGATGCAGAAGTACTTCGTGAGCCGCACGGCCTCGTATAGCTCGGTTTTTACTGCGAAGCAGCTTATGGTGCTGCACGAGGTTCCTTTGGGCAGCTGCCGAGCAGTGATGGAGTCCCCGGTGCTGGCAAAGTTGCGGGCCCAGCTGATCGACGAGGTAGCCGACGTGGACCTGATCATCTCCGATGCCACCAATACCATGGAGTGTCTGCTACCTCTGGTGCCCAAGCACCGTTCAATCCCCATACTGGGGGTGAGTGGCGGCAAGCTCACATCGGAACTATTGACGCTGGTCCGCGCCGAGGACACCATCAATGTGGCAAAGATTCCACACCCTATAAGCCAGCTGCCCGAAGACATGGATTTTATGGGGCGCATCCAAAACAGCGCCTTGTATCTGGCGGAGAAATTGTTAGTGAGATCTCCAGGAGAGTTATATAGATTGAGAAAACACTAATTACTGTCTTTGCCTTAGAATTCGTTGGACCGATATTTATCCCATTACCAGGGGCGCCTTAGTCCGCAAAAACCATGTTTATCCACCCCTAAAGCTGGTGCTACTCAATACCCACTCGACCCTGGATTACGCCCAGAATCTGCCAGCCAGCGTGATTGAAGTGGGAGGACTCCACATTTGGACCAAGTCGAGGCCCCTACCGCCGAATATTCAGAAGTTCGTGGATAAATTCATCGATGGCATTATCTACATCAATTTTCCGCACATTGATCTGTTCTTCGGGATCGGGACTAAGGCTGTGTTGCTCATGGCCCAGCGCTATGTAACCTACGGCTTCATCTGGAATGTGGAGAATGTGAAGGAGCTGCCGGAAGAGATGGACAATATTTTGACCCTTCATGTGGATGCAAGACTGCAGCAGGACATCCTAGGCAAGTCTTTCCGCCTAATTCTCTTTTAAGGTCAATGATTGTAAATGTGAATGTTTTCATACACAGCCCAATCGAGGGTGAAGTGCTTCCTCAATCATGGCGACAGCTTCAGCCTCCAAGAGGCCGTCCACTATGCTGTTCCCGTCCTGGTTATACCCCTGATACTTGAACAGTTCAATGTAGGTCCTTTGATTCTTTTATATTTCCTTTGATTTCCATTTACCATCTTCCTTCTCCCGCAGAATGCTCAGCGCATCAAGGAACGCAATCTGGGAGTCGTGCTCCCGACCAACACTTTCTTTGAGATGACCATGGCCAGAACCCTCAAGCAGGTCCTCCAGAATAAGGCGATCACCAATGCTGTCTCCAAGGCTCAAGTCAAGTTCCGCACACGTCCCATGCCACCGATAAGGACGGCCGTGTGGTACGTGGAGCATCTGATCACCGAACCCGAACTCTACAGCCACCTCGCCAAGCCATCCGTCAACTTTATTGTGTCCCACTCGCTGGACACTTTGGCCATTCCAGCTGTAGCCCTCCTGGTATTCTTGTGCAATATGATCCTCTTAGTGCTTCAGTTAATGAAATCCGAGGACATACAGAGCAGGATATTTGTCGACGATGACGGCAATGTGGGGGTTTGGGAGACTTTGGAAGAATATGAAATTCGCACTGGTATAGTAAAGGGAAAACAGATTCCCCCTCTAAACAAGAATATTATGGGGCGCCATCCATGCAAGAATCTTCCGGACAAAGCAAAAATGAGCATTAATTGATCTTAAACTACTGTATTCCCCAAGAAAAGCTGTCTAATAAATAATCAATCGATATCTGAAGATAACTGGCTCGCTTGTAATTTCTATTAAACTTTCGATTGTTTTCTATCCAACATCTATAAAGGTTATAGCATTCGATTTTGGCAAGATCAAACGAAGATAGCTAATAAAATTCCTCTTGCAAGAAACTTTCATAATTTGTATTTTATTTGGCTTTTTGGGATAATTTTCTTTAATGATCGGCCAAGGCAAGGACCTGGCACTTAGTCCGTATTTATATAATTTACATATGTATGTGATTTTTATACGTAAGCGCCGGAAAGGGTACGGGAGCGTAAGACTGCAGCATGCTCTCTCTCTCTCTCTCACACAGTTTTTTGGCATCGGTGGTCGCGAAGGGACGAATTGAGAAGGGGGGGTGCCGTGACGCAGACAACGAACTATATTAATTCTAGTCGAACTTGTCATGAGAGATGTGAAAACCATGTAGAGAAAGAGGGCGGCCACGAACGCTAGTTATGTTCCAATGCTAGCTCTTGCACTTTGTCCTATTTCCACTTCATGACCTATTTTATCGGAATTACGGAATATTTTATTTGTTTCCAGTCTTCATTCGGTTTTGCATTTTTTTTTTTTTTCTACTTATATCTTGTTCTCTCACTCTCTCTTTGCTTAGCACACTGCACGATTTAGAAAGAGAGGGAGAGAGAAAGAACAAGCGCGTGGAAGTGGTAGCACAGCCACTGCAAAGGCTATATCAATAATCCGATCCGATCCAGATTCGGCAGTCTAGTAGATATGGTCCTACCATAAGATTCTGCTTTTTCGGTATGGAAACAAAGTTGATTCATTTACTTTTACATGCATTTTACATATTTCATTCAGCCAAAGGTGATTTTTGGAACAGCCCAAAAGTTGACCATGCTCTTTCTTTCTCTGGGCTAACAAAGAGCGGGGTCTTAAGAGAAGATCGTCGCAGGTAAATCGAACCCGAACCCGAGCCCACAGGTAGGCACGACTCCATGGGCCGAACAGTTTTTATGGCGACAAGTGAGACAAAAGACGACCAGCAGCGTCCACGAATGCGCTTGGCCAGCAATAAAAATCCATGTCTTCAGTGCGTTTCTGGAATTCTCCGCGACTAGAACTGTGAAACTCTAAAATGCTAACGAAGCTGCTGAAGATCAGCTGCACTTCGAGGCAGTGCACCTTTGCCAAGCCCTTCGAGGCGATGCCGGGACCACGCGGCCCTTGGGGTTTGGGGAATCTCTACAACTATATGCCAATCATTGGCTCCTATTCCTTCCTGCGGCTGCATCAGGCCGGGCAGGACAAGTACGAGCGATACGGAGCGATTGTAAGGGAGACCATGGCCCCAGGACAGGACATCGTTTGGCTGTACGACCCCAAGGACATTGCCAAGTTATTGAACGAACGCGACTGCCCCCAGCGACGCAGTCATTTGGCCCTCGCACAGTACCGCCGCCAGCGTCCGCATGTGTACAAGACCACGGGTCTGCTGCCCACCAATGGTCCGGAGTGGTGGCGTCTCCGTTCACAGCTGCAAAAGGAGCTGAGTGCCCCGAAGAGCGTGAGGAACTTCATTCCCCAAGTGGATGGCGTGACACGAGAGTTTTTAACATTCCTGAGGGAATCATCGGACGATGGAGATGCGATCGATATGCTGCCAAAACTAACTAGATTGAATTTGGAACGTAAGTGGAGAACGATTCGATGAATCTATGTTTGTAATCTGAGAATCCCTTTGCAGTTACTTGCCTTCTCACCTTTGGTGCTCGCCTGCAATCCTTCTCGCCAGAGGAGCAGTCTCCCCAGTCCCGATCCACACACCTGATGCACGCCGCCGAGACCACCAACAGTTGCATTCTGCCCACAGATCAGGGCCTGCAGATGTGGCGCCTCATGGAGACGCCAAGCTATCGGAAGTTGCGTCAGGCACAGTCCTACATGGAGGGCGTGGCCCTCAAACTGATGGAAAGCTCCTCCTCCGAGCAATCCTCCCTGATCTCCACGTACCTACAGAACCCAGAGCTCGATCGCAGCGATGTGGTGGGCACTGCGGCGGATCTTCTTTTGGCTGGGATCGATACAACCTCGTATGCCTCTGCGTTCCTGCTCTACCACGTGGCTCGGCATCCTGAGGTACAGCAGAGACTCCATGCGGAGGCCAGAAGAGTGCTGCCCGATCCCGATCAGCCGCTATCTGCCGACGCTCTTCGCACAGACATCACCTACACGAGGGCAGTCTTGAAGGAGTCGCTTCGCTTAAATCCCATTTCCGTTGGCGTTGGACGAGTACTCAACCAGGATACGGTGCTCAGTGGCTACTTTGTGCCCAAAGGGGTAAGGGGAATTAGCCCATCTTTAAGGGTTCCCTAATGAGATTCCATCTTCTCCAGACCACAGTTGTGACTCAGAATATGATTGCCTGCCGCTTGGAGCAGCACTTTTCGGATCCCCTTCTCTTCCAGCCCGATCGTTGGCTCCAGCAGCGAAATGCCCTCAATCCCTACCTGGTGCTGCCCTTTGGCCATGGAATGCGCGCCTGCATAGCCCGCCGTTTGGCTGAGCAAAATATCCATGTGCTGCTCTTGCGGGTACGAGCACGATCATCGATCTTTGATCGTTTCCCAAAATTTGTTAGTCAAACGATCTATTCTTATACGATTTGCATTTTCCAGCTGCTTCGGAACTTTGAGCTAATCTGGCGGGGAGGAACGGATGCGGACTTGGATGTCGTCACGCTGCTGATCAATAAACCAGATGCCCCCGTGATGATCGAACTTCGGTCGCGTTCGAAATGATTTGCAAGTCTGAAAAGTACGTGGAGTCTTTTCTTCAGTTGAGTTCAGATCAGTTTTAAATAAATTGTTTATTTTAATTAATTATTATAATTAGTGTAAATCATATAACTAGATCTTGCATCTTATGTGATTGAAAGGCTGCGGGTGTTTTGGTCTAATTACTAAGGAAATTCATTCCAGAAAAATTCATCCAAATGGTGTCTAGGGGTTCCAAAGGTTTAAAGAGAATAATTCCAAGCCGTACCGAGGGGCGATGCCGCAAGACGCGCCACTTGTTAAACATAATACTCGACAAAAAAGACAGCTGTGTGGGCCCACAAGGGTTGCCTCTGCCTCTCAGAGTAGGGTGCTGTGGCTTGTTTATATAAATTTCTTCGAGTATTTTTTTCTTCTAATTTGTATAGGAGTTCTAATGGAGGTGTGACAGCCCTGGTGGACAACAGCATATACACGCGTATAGTATGTGGTGACTAAATATTCAGTTACAATGTTTTAATTATAGATATACTCGTATTTCATTTGGGATTTTTAAGTGTATATGGCTCTATAAAAGTGGTCCGACTAAGCCCCTATCTGTCTCTGTCTCCGTCTCCGTCTCTACTTCTGTCTCACACTGTCTCACGCCCAGTGAAAAACTATATAAACTACTACCTGTTTCGCTCACTTTCATGTCAAAAATATATATCGTTGAGGGAGGGGAAGCATTTAGAGCCTCCATCCTATATACTGTGATACACTCCTATCCGTACCATTTCTATTCAGATCTAACCTATAAGGACTTTGGTTGTTTGCCGCACTACTCGCTAGGATGATTGGTGAAAAAATACATCTAAATATACAATACAGGTCCTCGGGTGGAGCTGCTCCTTTAGCTATGGTGAAAAAATAAATGTTTCATCTGTTCGTTCAGAAGACATCTTTTCCAGGAAGCGGTTCAAGTCGTCGAGTCTCCTGCGAGTATGGCTGTCGTTGAATATGTGTGTTCGATGAGAGGATGAGATATGATTCTGCCCTCTATTTCGTCCGTGTTCTGCTGCCCCTCCAGTCTGGAGTTCCTTACAGTTCCAGCAGCAGAACCTCCTCATGCTAGAGTATATTAAGCAGCGACGAGTCCATCATCCGATCATCGTAAAGACTCAGGGTCTTACTGGCCCTGGCCTTTCGCACCGATGGGGGCACATCCCCAGGGGTCTTCACACGCTCCGCGGGATCCCTGAGCCGCTCGCTGCTCCCTCGGCCGCTGAAGACCTCCCGGAACACCTCCAAACTATGCTGGCGGCGCATCTGTTGCTCCGTGGGAAGTCCCTGGCCTTGGGTCTGGCTAGTCACCAGAAGGGAGTTTGTGCGCAGGTGACCCGGTCGACGTTTGGAGGAGGGTCGCGTCAGGGTCTGCAGTTCGTTCCCATGGCTCAGGATACAGTTGTTGTTCGTGGTTGTGGTGCTGCTACTGCTATTGATGTGCTTAATGAGGCTGCTGGACAGTGATCGGGGCACAATATGGGCGGGAGTGCCACTCCGCTGCTCCGCGCTCCGCAACTGCACGGGAATGGACTTATTATCCAGCGGTTGACGGGGGCTCAGGTCGAGATTGTTGGGTCGTCGCATGCCGCCCCCCGCTTTTAGGGCTGCCACCAGGTTCGACTTCTCCTCCCCCAGCTGCAGTTGGCGGCACAGCTCCTCTGCGTGCTCCTTGCGGAAGAGCTTCTTGTGGATGAGCGCACGGACTCCGTGCCAGCCGCGTAGCTTGTGGTCCGTGTTCTGCTGTTTGGGGAATCCCTGCCCCAGGCTGGAATTTGTGTTGGTATTCTTCTGGTGGTGATGGGCAGGGGGACCTCCGCCGCCTGGCGGCAGCAGCTCCTCCACACCAACATCGTGCTCCAGGCAGGATAGGCTGTTCTCCTGGGGCTGTGTCTGGAAGCTGTGCTTCTTGCTTCGTTCCACGAGCACCGGCGGCGGTCGCAGTGGCAGTGGCGCTAGATTCCGCTCCTGGCAAGGATTCCTACCCTGGTACGGCTGGAGCTGTTGTTGCGTGTAGCTCAAATGATTCTTTTCCGTCGGCAGCTGCTGGTTGGGCGGCGGCTGGAGCAGTCCGGCCGTGTCCGAGTTCATCTGGTGATGCACTGCAGCTGCCGTCGTCGTCGTTGTTGTCAGATTCACCTGCTCCAGAGATGTGGGCGACGCCAGGTTGTTGGTGTTCAGCAGCGGACTGGCCGGCTGGGCCTGTAGACGTGGCTTTAGTCCCGACATCTCCTGCATCCGCTCTTCGGCGCACAGCGACGTGAGCCTGGCATCCGCATCGTGGTCCCAGCAATCCTCACAGGTGTCCCGCACCACTTTGGCCGCTGCACCGCCTCCCCAGCCGGCGGGAAAGAGCGGTCGGGCTTTGTGACGCACCACCAGCGCCTGCATCTGGTCGAAGCTAGGGTGGGATCCCACCTCCTGCTCGTATGGGGCCTTGTAGGGCGGCGTCATCTGTCCAGCGGCATAAAAGTCTGCGCAGCGAGTGGACACTTCCCAGAGAACGAGTCCGAGCGCATAGACATCCATCTGTTTGAGGGACGTCTCGCAGTCTCGCAGATTGACGGCTCCCTCCAGGAGCTCTGGGGCCATGTAGCGCAGCGTTCCCACCTCATTGATGCTCTTCGTCTCGGCCATGGCCACCTCGCCCTTGTACTCGTACTTGGACCCAAACACTTTCAGAGCAAAGCCAAAGTCCGCAATGCAGCACGAGAGATCTGCCTGGACAAGGACGTTTCTCGTATTGATGTCGCGATGGGCCACGCAGGGTTTGTGCTGGTCCCCCAGCCGCAGTTCCGTGTGCAGGTGGGAGATGCCGCGCGTGATGGAGCGTAGCATGCCGCAGCATTGGGAAAAGTCCAGGGTGTTGGCTATCAGCCAGTCCTGAAGGCACCCCAATGGAGCCAGCGATAACACCAGCTGGTACTCCATCCGTCCGTCCATGGTGCAGCGCTCATCGTATCCTAAAAGAGTAAAATACCTATTAAAATGGAGCTGTCGCACCTCCCAGTGGTGGTTTCTTACCAAAGTAACTCAACAAAGCCGGACAATCCATCAGGGGCAAAGCGTATATATTCCTCTCATTCACATAGTACTGATGATGCTCCTCGGGATAGATCTTTACAGCCACCTCCTGGTCGTGCAGCAGACCCTTCATGACAGTCCCGTACTTTCCACTGCCTAGCATTCCAATTAGATTCATGTTGTCCACATTTCGCAGATTAGAACTGTAGCCTGGTCCCGACGGTGCCAGAGGGGATTCCTCTGGCTCCGGCTTCTCCTTGGGCCCCCGACAATACTGCACGGCTAGGAAGATGCCAATCATGATGGCAGTGACTCCACCAGCAACGCCCAGCATTGTGCCAGCCAGGAAGGACTGGTGCTGCTTGGTCGTCGCCAGATTGGTGAGCGGGGAACGGACATCGTTGGAGCCCAGCTCCAGGGGTGCGGGTTCCACCACAGAAAACTTCGTATTGCACACATCTCCCGAACAGCAGCAATAGTACAAAGAGCTGGTCCTCGACGTGGGGGCTGTGCTGATGCACTCCGACGGGTTGCAGATGGAGTTTCGATCAGTGTTGTCCTTCCAGCAGCCTGTGGATTGAGCAATCGATAGATTTATTGGGATGAGGTATGTCTCTATGTCTCTTTGGACACTCACCTTGCTTGAGTATACTCGTGCTATTCAAGCTCTGATTCCACAGGGTAAAGCAGAAGGTGTATCCCTCGGAGCAGCTGCGTCTGTGCGGCTCATTAGGAATTGCACTGGGCTCGAGCTGCTGCTCCAGCAGCTCCCCGCTATTGTCCTGCTCGGAGTCATCGTCGTGCAGGGAGCTATCGTTCTCCATGTAGCTCATGCAGCTGTACTGCCGACTGGGAACAGGAGCTATCCGAAAGATAGAGAGAGAGAGGGTTCCATTAGAAGATATAATGGAATATATAACATCGATCTATCGAATACTTACAGCTCCTGGCCAAGGAGACCAGGGCCACTAGCAACCAGCTCCATGTAAGTCGATTCATTTTGGAAATCCTCTTATAGCTTCCTTGTGGTGCCTGTCTTTAAGGTCTTTCGATTCTATCGATTCGGTGCCACAACACTCCAAATTTACGGCATTTTGTGGGTGAATAAAACTGCAGAAATATCGAAAATGTTTTATAAATATTGTTGTTGACGCAACAATAAGAATTATCAATAGTCTGCGATCCAGTACGATCCCTCCTCATTCCCCGCTAGCCCTCCTTCCCTTGGCTTGTGTATCAATTTGCGATGGGAGTTTGCAAGTTCAGCTACTTTATCAAGCCGTGGGCGAACCGATAATGCCGGACCCAGATAAATTCTAATTCCAACCAGCGCCTATTACCGAGTGTCGTCTTACGCTCACGCTCCCCCACACCCACAATTCCAGTCACTGGAGGGAACGCGGCTGCACTTTGGAACCCATTCGGAACCAGGCGCCGCCTGTCTATGCAATACCATTTCGAATGGAGACGACCTCGACTAGGGGATACCCAAATCCAGAGGGATTGGCAATAGATTGGCACAGTGCCGATATGTCCCTAGGGGCCCAGGGTAAGGGGTAAGCAAGTCTCCTCTTCTTTCTTCCTCTTCTGTCGCCCACTCGAGACGCTGATTAGAAAATTTTGCAAGCATTAATTATGTGGATGGTTGAGCTTATTACGTTCTCCCACTGTATATAGAGTATATACATATGTTGTCCTCTGTGTGTGTGTGTGGTGAGTGATTTGCATTGGGCCGACATTTGGGTTAATTGTGGGTGACGGAGCATGAAATTTCCAGCGAGATAGGAATATTTTGTCCGATAAGGAGGCTTGTATACGATTATCAAATCGCTCCCCAATCAGCTACTTTTTAGAGCTTTCTATTCATGCTCTTGGAATTCAATTAAAGAATGAAAAGCTCTACCCCTTGCCCGTCCTAAGATCTGAGGACCTACAAGAGCTGCTCGTAAGAAGTAAGAGAAGTAGTTTAGGGACTGGGACTTCGATTAAGATCTACCGTGATGAAAGGCAATTTAAATTTGCGTTACTTTTCCTGCTCTCAAGTCTCGAGATTCCAGGAGTCCCTCCTTTGGACTTCTTGGACTTCTTGGGTACACCAAACCACACACCACACGAATTGAGTAAAACGAGATCTTTGGAGTTCTGTGCGCTCTCTCTCATTGCCCAACTTTTGTTTCTGTTTTTGGACGTTATCGCCCCAGAGTGAGTGCGTCCCCCCTTTCGTTCAGCACGCATCGACCGGCTAGCTTCTCTCACCCCTCTAGCGCAGGCGCAGACACCAAAGAGAGCAGAGCAGCAACTCTCTGCCGCGCCAAAACAGGTTCTGCTGGCGCTGTCTCAAGTGGGGCTGGTGATTGTCAGCGAGGGGAGCGGTAGTGTGGGGTGGTTCGAAGAGCCGCCGGGTGCTCCCGCACGATAGCCGACGGCGCCAGTTAATTGCAAATGCTGCTCGCCACCCTGTCCAACGTGGGGTATGTCTGATTCAGAAGTGGTTAAGAAACACTTTTAACTACTGTGACCGCAAAAGGGTATGCAAGTGTCGGTGAAGCTCTGTTCTCTATGCGTTGCGTTTATTCTCGTTGCTGCTGCATTTGTTGTTGGGGCCTGATTAACTTTTTGCGTGTGCGTTTTGTCCATGTCCACGGTTTGGTGTGTGAGTGTGTGTGTGTGTGTGTGTATGAGTGCGTGAGAGTGTTTCGGGGTTCATCTTCGTTTGGCCAAGGTAAATAAAAGGGAAGGTAGCCCCGGTTACCCAATTATCTCGTTACGTGAATCTTTGCACGCAGCCAATTTGAGAACGCCTCACCCTCTATTCAATATGCATTGGTTTGGCTGCATTTTTCAATTGCGACATTCGAACGAAGACTGACTACTGACTACTGACTACTGACGACGCGATGCGACATGCAAAATCAATGCGAGACACAAAAGTGCAAGCAAGACAGCAGCAGCAACAACGATAATGGCAAAGTGAATGTGAATGGGTCTCAGGGGTCTGCTCTTGTTGACTCCTCTCTCCTCTCTCCTCTCTTCGCTCTATTTGCCAGGGTGGGTGGCCGTCGCCGCCAACTGTCTGTGAGAGTGTATTATGTGTGTTTCTGCTGGTGTTCGTGCGCAGAGACGACTAAAAAATTGATTTTTCCAAGACATTTTTCTCGAGTTGTTTGCGGAAAAACTTGAACGTATCCACAAACAGGAAAACTTTTTGCTGCACCTGCACTTACACTCGGAATTCAGAGCATGCTCTTCCCCACTGCAGTTGCACTCAATAGAGATTTTCCGTAGTTTTATTAACTAATTTTTTGCACTGAAGAAAAGTAACACACTAGCCGCAAACTTTATTGGTGGGGCCCCGGCGCCAGTCGCGTCTGCTCTCCGTCGCCGTTGTTGGCTTTTGGGGCTTTTTATGGTGCTTTAAACTAGTTTGCTGGATGGCCGCGCCGACGTTTGCCGCTCGATGTTCGTTTGGCCGCCTTCGCCCGCTCGAAGTAAATGAATGCGGGAGCCACTGCGTTCGGCCTGTCTCTGGCGTCGTTGTCGTCTCTGCTCTTGCTCTTGCTTTTGCTCTCTCCGAATGCCATTCGTTTGGGGCTGAAGAAACAGGCATGCGTGTATTTACGAAGCAGCGTGGAATGACAGAATCAGCGATTGGGGCGTGAGAGAGGAGAGCGTGAATTCGAGTGTGAGAGCAACATTTTCGGGAGCAGCTGAAAGAGAGCTTTAAAGCACTTGTTGAGCATGTTTTTCTTTCGCATTTTGGCTTTTATTCAACGAGATTCCATTTAACCCTACTGCGGCAGGGGGTGGGCGGGCAGCACTTGGCCCACACACTCCCCGAATCCGATGCGCAGGCCGTTCTTCTCACAGTGACCCCGGATAATGACCTCGTCGTAGTCCTGCAGGAACTTGCGGCTCTTGCCGCCCGGCAGCTCCACATTCTTAGTGCCCTTCCAGCACAGCTCCAAGAGGGAGCCATACGAATCAGGCGTCTCTCCACTTATTGTGCCGGAGGCCATCAGATCGCCAGGTCGCAGGTTGCAGCCGGTTACCGTGTGGTGGGCAATCTGCTGCAGTGGCGTCCAGTACAGATGCTTGAAGTTGGACTTCGAGATGAGGGCCTCGTTCTGATCCGAAGCTGGAAGTAAGAACGAAAGGATCCCCACATCAAGCCCAGTACTCAGGACTCTCATCTATTTGGTACCTACGTTTCAGGGAAACCTCCAAATTGATGTCAAAGTTGAAGGGCACGCTCTGGCGCAGATACGGAAGGACCTCCGGCTCCTGGGGGAAGTTGTCCAGCAGGAACGGCTTCAAGGCAGCCGTTGGCACCACCCAAGGCGATATGGTGGTGCCAAGGTTCTTCGCCGTGAATGGCCCCAGTGGAACATACTCCCACTTCTGGATATCCCGGGCACTCCAATCGTTCATCAGGGTGAAACCAAACACATTCTTCCAGGCCTCGTCCACGCGGATGGGTTCACCCAACCGGTTGCCGGGACCTCCAATGAAGAAGGCCATCTCCAGCTCAAAGTCCAGCAGACGGCACGCCCCGAACACAGGCTTCTCGGCGCCCTCGGGCAGCGTCTGTCCCAGAGGACGACGGATGGGTGTCCCAGAGACGACCACAGAGCTGGCCCGACCATGGTAGCCCACTGGCAGATGCCGCCAGTTTGGCATGAGGGCGTTATCCGGACCACGGAACATGATGCCCACATTGGTGGCATGATGGATGGACGAGTAGAAGTCCGTATAGTCCCCAATCTGGGCGGGCAGATGCAGGCTAATCTCTGACTGAGCGATGATTGCCCTAAAATGGAACACGAAATTTTTTTAAGGGTAGCGAAAGCTTTTTCCAACAGTTCTTTTCTTACGCTTCCTTAAGGTCCACATTTTGATCCAGTTCCGAACCCTTCTGCAAAAGCTTCTGAGTCTGTGTCCTCACCACATCCCAAGCTTCGTGGCCCAAGCCCATGAGGGCGTTCAAAGTCTCCGCCTGCAAGCTCGCTTGCACGGTGGGTGGATATAATTGGGAGACAGCTTTCAGGTCGAGGACATGTTTTCCTATGGCCACGCACAACCGATGAGCTTTCTGTTGACCAGAGAGAGAGGGAGAGAGATTTTAATTACGATATTCAGACACGATATGAGGTCTTATCAGAGCTAGGATGGTACGATGTGTTTTATAAGTTATTTTGAGTTGAGATTAGCATATTGTTTTCCTAAACAAACTTGTTTGCCGGATGATGTATGCAAATGTTATGCCCCAAAGTGGTTTCTGTTCTAGAACGAAGCGAAATCTAGAACTGGCTCAAAGTCACATGGAAAATGGTTGAACTTGAGAAAAAACCAACATATGTATATCTTTAATATTTTCCTTGGTTTTAATGGTTTTAATCATTTGCAGGACTCACATTACTTTGGGTGGAAAATACAGCATAGGGCAGGTTCTCCAGAGGGAAATCGCTTCCCGCTGGCACTGGCACAAAACTCTGGGGCATCTTTGAAGCACTTAAACTGGAGAACTTTGGAAGGTGGGAGCGGATCAGTAGACTGAAACAGACGACCAGCAATGTGCGCGGAGCCAGAGCGAACAAGAAAGAACGAATGAGCGAGCTCCCCTTTAAGATCCGCCTTATATATGCTGAGTGCTCTCCAAACAGATCTAACGCGTTTCTCTTAACGAAACCAAGCCCCCAAACGACTAAGAGAAATATCAGGAGAGAGGTATTGAAAAGAGAGTTGTTTTCTGCGCTTTGGTTACTTTTATTTTGATTTATCATTCGTTTATATATATATATATATAATATATCCATTTATAATTATATTTTTATGTTGGAATAATTCTTGTTTTGCTCTTGTTTTGGGATCTGCACATACATATACAATAATTTAAACATACATTAAATGAGACTCATGATATATATACCAATATCTGATCTACACATAGTATATCTCTTGTACTGGATAAACTTAGTTAAAACACATTTAAAATACAATACATATGTATAATATATATCCTTTATCTTTGATCTGATTTATCTTTATTTATATTGAATTGACAAACGATTCGTGTTCTTTTGTTGTAGTATATGATTTGTCTGAGTTGTGTACATGGAGTGGTCTCGAATCCCTTCTCTGACTTTTCCTATACCTTCCTTTGGACTAACAGAATTTGAAAGAATATGGAAACTCATAGAAAAGAATAGGCAGTCCAACATTTGTAATTGAGTTTAATTGACTTTTTGGATATGGGAAACTAAACTCCAACTAATTCGTTTATACGTATTTAATTCTCTAGACGAGTATATAGCACAGTTCGATAATTGGACTAGATACGATCTAAGGATGTGGGGGTCCCCAGATCCTCTTTCAGTTTCTTCTTAAGTAACAAGCACAGGTCTCTCTATAAAGGTACGCATGGCCATAGATCAACGTCTCTATACGAGTATAGTAGGTAACTTTTCTCTCCGCAAAATAGATCAAACGATTAACATAACGAATCAAACGGAACCCTCTCCTTCTTCATCTTCCTGATATGTTAAGATAGCGTTCGATTAACCATTCAACAGTATTTTCCAACAGTAAATATATGTATATCGTTTCATAGGTATTATGTGGGTTTATGGGACCGTGTTCCGTGTTTTCTGGTGGTGCGTGTTGTGGTGGTACATATAGATATTCAAATATTGTATACTTATAGTTTTCTTGAATCTTTTTCGATTTTAATATCGGTTTTAGATATAGTTTTACCAAAAAAAAAAAACAAACGCTCGCATTAACAGGTTTTGATTATATGAAAATTTCCAACACTGGCCCACACACTGGGATAACGGTTAACGTATAACAGTAACGGAATGGAGAATCGGAAAAGGAACTGCTAGTAACACTTTATAGATACATACAAACAAATTTACATTCAACATTGAACTCTGATGATCTTTCTTCATTCGTTTCGCGGTCTCCTTGATATGCTTTTTGTATGATCTACCATTATCATTCCATCCTGAGAACCGCTTACAAATCATCGCCCAAACGATGGATCTCATCCAGCATAAAGTCCACATCCGCCTCGTTGACGGCAGCCGATGAGATGATCGAACGGAAGAAATTGGGTCGTCGATCGTCAGGCTGATAGCCCACCATCAGACTGCCCTTTTGCATCATGCGTCCCTTGATAATAGGACAGATCTGCAGAGAGATCACGGGGGTTATTCCACCATACCTTTGGATATCTTTGAGTAGAGCTTACCTTTCCCAACTCTGTCTCCTTTCTGGCATCATGGGGCACTCCCCGCAGCCGCTTGGGCACATACCAGAACGATACATTGACGCACTCTGGCTCCAGGATCAGATGGAAGCGATCGGACTGGGCGCGAATGCGCTTCAGCTGGTATTGGACCAACTCCATCAAGCGGTCCTGCTGCTGTTCGAAGCCCTCGGTGCCCTTGGCGCGCCACTGCAGCCACAGCTTGAAGATGTCGTTGTGGCGTCCGCACTGGATCACCTTGTCTCCAGTGTCGTAGCTAATGTCATAATGCTTATCGGTCATGAACAGATACTCCGCCGACATCTGGTTGCAGCTGATGAGGAGGCCCTATAGAAAGCAAAATCGATATTGAATGGAATCCTTTTCGTCCTTTCTCTTTCCCTCTGGCCATAAGTCAAGTTGAAATTTTAATTAAAATTCCCGCCTGCCAAAAGACACAACTGTGACCGATGGCAACATATTGCAATGAATGTAAAAAATCGGAGGAAGGACGGACTGAAGGAGGGTGGTGACTTGGCGCATTTGGCCCCCGAGCCACCAGGGTTGTCAAAGATTTCATTACGCTTTTCATTGTGTGTGCGACAACCCCTGTCTGTCTGTCTGTCTATCGGTCCGTCTGGTCTCGTTCGTTGTTTGGAATGAAGAATAACAAGTAATTGTTCGAAACACAATTGGAATTCTTTGCACAAACATTGTTCAATGTGTATCCAAAAGAATGTCGGGTCTCGTTGTGGGGTTGTGGGGCAGGAAAATGGTACTTTAAATATGGGCTTGTGCTGAAAAAGTCAAGGAAATTGTTGTATTTGTATATGATATCGCCTTCCCAAGCCAAAAGGATTCAGAGATGAGCCTTAAACCCGACTATAGCTCTCCAAAATGAGGAGCTCATACTTTGTGTAATTATAAAACCCAAAGAAACTTATTTGATTGGCAGTGGGATATCTCCTCCACATTATCCCTATAAATTTTATATAATCTCTTCTTTATTTATATATATTATAGATCTACTTACATCCTCCTTGAAATGAATGGTCGAGCACTGCAGTAGAGCTCCCATCAGTTTGTGTGGATTCCAGGTGACCGAATCGGCGCTGCAAAAAGTCAAATCATATTCGTAAATAGACATTCAATTACGAATTACAAACAATTAACACTAAGCTGCCACACTGTGGCAGCTACCGCTACCCACCCCATCCCACAAGCCCCGCTGTGCGACAAATGGGGGAGGTCTCTCCACGGCAAGTGCCATAAATTGTGGCAATTTCAGGCCGCAGCACTTTAATTGAATTCAAAAGCGAGAGACACAACCCTCGGGGCAAGGACTCGGGGAGGGTTGACAGCTAAACATCCCTGGGGGAGCTATTTACAGTTATGTGGGTGCGCCACAGCTTGCTGCCTGCCTCCCAGCCTCACCCGGTGGGTGTGTGGGTGGGTGGGTGTCTATAAACATGATCCTTATGGAGTGCCTGGAAGTGTGCTTCAGGTTTTTGTGCCCTCTACTGGTGGGAATTCGAGGGTATATTGGGTATAAGAATATTCTTTGCAACCAAAATATTGGTTTATAGAAAAAAGAAAATATAATGCCTCCTAAAATTTTTGAGATATGGAACTGTAATTTAATTTATGGATCAAGTTTTTATCCACCTAAATATCAATTGTCATAGTTGTGGAATAAATATTAATATTACGAAAGACAAGTGACTTTTATTATCCGTGCCTTTAATCACAGAAAAAAAGTGTCATAAGTAATCTTTTAATCTCTTTATGAATATAAGTTATCCAGCCATAACGTGGACCATATAAGCACTCAATAGATCCCCGAATTGGGTAACCTCATAGTCGATACAGCCTTCAATAAAGCCCGAACTTTCTTTCTTCCCGCATATGTTTTGTGATTGAGCGACGGCATGTGGCGATTGGGCTAAAGATGAGATTTCCCTTCAATTGTTTTAAGAAACTTCTTTCAAACTGAAACTCAGCGAATTTAAGAGGTTCCCTCATCCTCTGCACCCAATAAAGGACTATTAATCAGGGCTCTGTAAGCCCCCAAAATGCCGCAACGCAACTTGTCAGCTGTATGGGCATTTTAATGATTAATTCGCATTGAGAGCCTTTCAATTAAGAGCCTCAATTTGCATGCCACAACGACGCTGGCATTAGGAGCCATTATTGTGGGTGATGGATGGATGAAAGATGGGAGGAGGCAATCAATTTGAAAGTGTTTTAAGGAGGCTAAGGCTAGGCTGTTCCTGCTTGACCGCAGTCTGTCAATACGAACGACAGCTGCACTTGCCACATTTGCCTAAGCCCTCTCTTAAGGCGGAGTCGGAGTCGGAGGTGGGACTGGAGATGGATTCAGGAATGGATTCAGGACAGGAATGGGTCTGGTGCTAAAGTGCATTTCAGGTTTTAACTTTAAAATTAAAAATTCCTCTCCTCGGGGATGAATCACTTTCCCTCACTTTCCCTCACTCTGCCACTCGCCCAGCCACTGCCATTCGCATTGTTTGTCGTAATTGTTGCGTAAGTAATGCCCACCCATTCATGCCCATGCCGTGCCACCCCCTGGAGGTCGCGGGTTGGTAGAACACGGGTTGGTTCAAAATCCACTTTGTTCATTTGTTTGTCTGGCCCAAAAATGCACTCGGCACTCGGCTCTGGGTCGTTGTAATCCCTGTAAGCTCTGAACACCTGATGGAGGCACTAAATGACAAATTGAGATTTTTCCCACATGTTGAAGTTGATTTTCTGCACGAGGGGGAGACGACTCGGCCGAGAGCTGAGCGATGCGGGCCATTTGGGAGCATTTAGATTTAAATTCATCCTACAAAAAACCCAAACCCAAGCGGAGATTTCAATTTGTGTTTTGACTTGGCAAAAGATGAGGGTGCCCCAAGGCACACGAGTTCCTGCCACGAAGGATGATGAATGAGCTTGACAATTGCTTGGGACAAAAGGGAAGCGGGCCCAGAGGATTGTCGAGGACCTTCTATGAAGTGAAAGGATATGATATGAGCTCTGAGGAAGTCTGAAGAACAGTCTGTGACCTCTTGGATGTCTTCTACTTACCGCTCAACGCCAGTGAATCTGGGATGACGATGCTTGCGAGACATCAACAGACCGCCGCCCCAAGCAGCCTTTAAAAGAAACAGAAACGATTCTCATTTGAATATCCCAACCGCAATCCCCCAGTGAAGAATACTCACATCGATGTGCATCCAGCAGTTGTACTTCTCGCAAATGTCCGCGATGGTGTTGATATCATCGAAAGCCCCAAGGACAGTGGTTCCAGCGGTGGCATTGACAAAGAAGGGTATGTCGCCCTTGGCCTTGCGCTCGAGGATCAATCGCTCCAGCTCCGAGGTAATCATCTTGCCATTCTCATCCGAGGGCACCACAATGCAGTGGTCGGTGCCCAGGCCGCAGACGGCGGCGCATGACTTGATCGAGTAATGGCACTGGTCCGAGGTGAACATCGCCAAATTTCCGGGCAATCCCCGAGAGCCATGCTCCTTGTAGTTGGGGAACATCTTATGCCGGGCCGCCAGGAAGGCGTATAGATTCGAAATGGAGCCACCGGGCGCCAGGATGGAATCGCCGCCGGACCAACCGATGATCTCGCGCATCTTCGTCAGCACCACCGTCTCCATAAGAATGAACACTGGGGCGATCTCGTATGTGAACATGTTGGTATTGGCCGTGGCCGTCAGCCACTCGCCAGCCATGGAGATCAGATCGAGTCCATTGGACAACTGATTGAAGAAGTGTGGATGTCCTGGGGGGTTATGCATAAGAAAAGAGGTTATAGCTCCAATAGCTCTATTGGGGGATATGTTGTGCCGCCTGTTGGGTGTTTAATGTGGCTGAAAATACTTTCCATTTAGCCATGGCTGTCGCCTCCGTCTGTCTATGTCCCTAAGCTGACAGCAGATGTGTCTGGCAGCTGTGCTTCCATCGCCAGGAGCTTCCTCCATCACCCCCAATTCCTCCTTTCCGGCAGCATTCTGCCACAGTTTTTTTGTTTTATTAAAAATATATTCGAGGGCTGAAACAAAGGCCAAAACGAAGCAGCACGGCTGACTGGCCTCGAATGGAAGGCCGCCAACGCCAGCGCCAGCGTCAGCGTCAGGGCCAGTGCCAGTGCCAGCCGCCACGGAAGTGCATATGTTCAAGGGCAGACGCCACTCACACACAAGGTCCTGGTGGCCAATCGATGGAGGCTGGATCTTAGTTTTTTCGTGCTGTAATCCCTGTACTTTTCTCTGACTGAAGAGCTCTATAAATTGCTCATTTATTGTAGCTAATTGTAGGACTTTGGACGGAGCTTCGATTTGTGGGGAAAAACTCCCACGAAGAACCAGAGAATGCTTTCAGAAAAGCATCAGGAAGCTGTCCGTCCGTCCCCCTGTTCCAGCTTGAACCCTTCGGCGTCTGTCAGTTCACATCTTGAGTGCCATAAGTCGTGTGATTAAAATCCCATTGCCCACAAGGCTAAATCCACCCAAACACACACAGACACACACACACACAGAAGGATACAGGGAAACAAGGACTCTGCCAGAGCGTCGGCATTCAAACATTTCAATTTGCGCAGGAGTCACCCTCGACCCAGACAGCAGCAGCAGTAGCAGACAGCAGACGGCCAGGACTTTGGGCACAGGACTGAGGAGGCAGTCATTCATTCGCATCAAAGGATCAGGAATGCAGCGAGTCAGAAAATAACAACGGATTTTGATTAAAGCTCCCCTGTTTTTATGGAGGATGATGTTGTCGTATCAGGTTGCTGCCGCCGCGTCTTCCCTGCTTTTTGACAGGGCGCACATTATGTGAGATTAAGGATCATAAATGGGACTCTTATCGGAGTCTGGCGTAATGGTAGAGCATGCAAAAAAGAGGAGCTCCTTAAAGAGAAGAATTTTTCTCGCTTTTCTGAGGAGTCCCCCGCCATCCTAATTATTCTCCTTTACCAAAAGTTTCCCATGCAATCTATGTTTATTCAGCGGGCAGACCTGATTGCGTACACTTTTAATTCAATTTTTAGGCACACAAAAGTCAGTAAACCACAGGGGGAAGGAGGATGCCTGAGCAAGTCCCATTTCCTGCAACCAAATCGCGGAAGCAACGCCTGCTTCCGAGACAAGGCCACAGCTTCCGGGGGTTGGTTTGGGCAGGAGTACGAGGGGTTTGTATAGTAAATACGCTTATTATCGATACTCCAAACACAATTGCGGTCACGTGCGGCGAGAGACATAGACACAGGACACACAGGAGCTGCCCCTGGCATTAATTTTCAATGAAATGAAATCAGCAAGGACATTCATCGTATACCAACGCACAACAACAACAAAAAAAAAAGGAGAGCCGAAACGTGCGAATGACTTTTGGCTGCGAAAGCCAAAAGGGAAAGGAACCCTTTCCCTGATTTATGATTGATGGCAGCCCAAAGGGACTACGAGTGTTTTTGAAAGGTGTAAACCAGCTTTGGGCCATGGCTCAATGGGCCATAAAATGGCTTTGTCTGACGCTTCATCCTGTGTGTCTGTCTGCCTGGCGGAAGAGTGCCATCAATATGCTAATGTGCTTATCTAGAAGGCTGCACACTTTGTGTCATAATGCGACCGCATCGTCCGGAGGCACGCGTCCGACAGAGGACATATGCTAAGCAGCAACAAATTTGATTAGCCCGCGACTGGGCAAACACAGGAGAGACCCGATAAGGCTTCAAGAGGATTCACGGAAAAAGATATAGCCGAACTCACCCGTCTTCACTTGGTACTTCAATGTGGTGGCACAGTCCTCGATCAACTGCTGCAGCGGCAAGGCCCGATCGGGCACCTCCAGGTCCAGCAAACGCTTCAGGTCCTCTGGATGATGGAAATCCAGTACCTTCTCATTTCGATCATTGGTGGCCTTTACGAAATCCAATAGCACATCGACTACCTTCAGCAGGAACTCCTGTGTCTCCGGTCCGGCAGACACTGTTGTGGGCATGAGATCTGATAAAAAAGAGCGAACATAAAAAAGGAAAGCAAAATGTGAATGTGAATGCTTATCGGGAAATATGAAAAGCGTGTGCCCCCGCTTCTGCTGACAGGCCCTCGCTCTTATCATGATATATGGCTATTATTATGGTCATGATTTAAGGGGAGTCCAAAGCGGGATCCTCCGGGGGCAGACTGAGATTCATAACGAGCTTTTTATGGTCATCCTCCAAGGGGTGGCGCAGGGCAAGGCCAGCACCCAGCTGGCGGTCGTGTCCTTCGCGTCATCCTCCAGCGGTGGCTGCAATTAATTTCTAGGGCTTTGTGCGGGGACTTAAGGTCTGGCCACTAAGCCACCAGGCAAATGGGAACAGTAGCTCCCCGGGAATCAATTGGAAAACTTAACGTTGCGGATGATTACCAAATGTAGAAGAAGCAGGAAGAATGGAGCAGGGAGCAGCAGGAGCAGGAGCAGCAGTCGCTGCACAACAAATTGTAGCAATTTTGAACATTCCTCGAGTTTACGGCAAAAAGTTAAATAAAATTTAATGTGCTTGACTGCCTCGATGGCCAGGCTGTCAAAGGCAGCCGCCCACCCTTCGGACTATCCATCTCTCTTCCTCCCTGATCCTGCAGAAGGAGCAAGCATTAAGCACAGACGCTTCACACACGACCAGGATTTCAGTGTGTCCTTCTCAGGCGTGCGCAATATCCTGTGACTAAACGGTTTATGTTTGTTGGGTTTTCAATTTGGTGCACGCGTCTGGCTGCCAGGGAGAGTCCTGGTCTTGGTCCTGGGCCTGGGCCTGGGCCTGGGCCTGGACCTGGGCATGGTGGTGGCTTCTCCTTTGACTTCTGCCGCGCGTCTGTTTGTCTCTCTGTTTGTCGGTCGAAAATCTGTTACAAGGCAACAGTCGGCCCGCTTTCACGCTCCACCAAAGCCAAATGCACACATGAAAACAGGAGCAGAAGCCAAAACAGGAGCAAAAAGCAGCCGATACACGGTAGTGTAGGACAGTGTGCATAGGCCATTTATCAAGGACACGAGTGTTCTGGACAGCCCAGCTCCTTGTCCATGTTCTTGGCAGACCTCCCGTTTTGTTTGCCTCGCAGTCGTTGTGTCGGTTTAACACTCATTTATTATTTGCTCGGCCAAAAAGCGATTTGTGTGCAGCTATGCCAGGAAGGAGTAGGAGGAGGACCAATGTTTGCCAGAATTATTACTAGTAAATGGTTTTGGCAGACAGACAGGACAGTGCGGTTCATGGGTATAACTTGGGGAGAAATGTTATGGGCAGAGAGCTAGCCATTTGTAAACCATTTAGAGGTCGATTTTGGCTACCTAAAGAACATTCCGAAGAGGAAAATTAATAAGTAACTGAAAGCAATAAACAAAGGCCTGAATTTTGGAGATTAATAGTTTCTTCTACTGTTTCTTACAACTGTAAATAATTACTGGTATGAGAAGCTACTTATATAGATGCAATGCTCATATGAACATCTTTGGAATATCTCCCAATTGGTTATACCATGGAAAATAAATCGCAGCAAATATAAATTAAATTGCTTTCTTGTAATAATATATATTATTTATATTTTATTTATGATATCTAGATAGACTCCGATATACATCAAAATCTTAATTTCATGTGATAGTATTCCGAGCTATTAAATATACCAAAAAGTCTCTGTCTTGATTTTGTACGTAGGCTATCTTTTGAATCCGTACCGTTGGCTATGTTTAATAAAAACAGGTCAAAATTGACAGTTCCATTTCAAAGTTAGGCCTAGAACTTGTTCTTCTACCATCGCGTTTTATATAATTTAACAATAAACCAAATCCATCTTATGGGAAAAATGAAAACTTCCGTGTCATGATTTACTACGATTTTTGACATGGATTGGCAAGACAAGAATGCTTCGATAAACTTAGTTCAACCTTTGTTGATTAGGTACCATTCATTGCCAATGCATAAAAGTGCTTAAGCGAATTCAGTACTGGACGTCCTTGGCGGCAGAGCGAATCTCGTAGGGATAGTCCAAAAACCGGAAAAAACTAGTGCTGTACGGGATTGGGTATTGCAATACCATAACATAGAAGCATTGAGGAAATTTAAACTCCAATTACGGAATTGTACTTTTCTACGCATTGCCCCCCTCATCAGATTTTTTTAGCAAAAACTGAGGCTGACGAAGTGCTTTTTAGAGATACTTCCTTCTGAGGGCCAAAAGAACTGCGAAAATAGGTTAGAGAATATTTGTAAAAAGAATAAAACCGTTTTCAATGTTATCTTGTTGACCCTTCACTATTAGGCTACGAATACAAAAGGCAGTCCTCGTATGGGGAGCACCGTTATCTCGTGCTATACTACCTAATAAGTGTACGAAATGTTGATCCATTGCATGTTATATAAGTGTAAGTATTCCTCTTATATTGCCAAGATATAGTAAAGATTTTCAAGACAAGCTTATATCCTTTCGAATCCTATAGACTTGTAATATATTTTTTATATCATATCATACCATAGTACTCCAACTTCTATTCGAATTCTTTGTAAATTCTACTCACCATATGCCGTCAGTTTGCCCGTCCTTTCGGACAGTTTATACCCGTTCGGATTGAGCGACATTTTCTCCTCTGCAATGGTATAAAGAAAGAGAAAACGATTCATTAATAAAGGGAGGAGTACCAGATGAGGGCCCTCTCGTAGTAGGCGGCAAATGATGTTCGGCCAAATGAAGTGAATAGTCAATGTTATGCAATCGGAGACCCTAAAGGGTAGGCCCTAAAGAGAAAGAGCTCTGGCCACTGAAAGCAGGTGTTACATAAATCTGCCTCCTACTACACTCTCCCTCTCCCTTTTCTAACTAGAAATTGCATAATCGGGGAGAAACAAACAACCTTCGAAAATTTGTCTAGAGAGTGAAAATGCAATGAGTGAGTAAATAAATAGAGGAATTTCGGTAGTGGAAGGGTGGCGGATGGGGGCCATATAGACAGAAGGACAACTGAAGGGCAATGGTGGAGTGTGGGTGGTGTACACACTGATTTCATATACCCCCCCCTCCCCGTCAGAAAGAGGAGTGGAAAGGTGTCCCTCTTCCCATTGAAACGCCTTCTGCTATTGCGCAGTGAGCGTTAAGCAAATTTCCTCTGTTTTTCCTCGATATATATATATATATAGATATGCATATATGTTTGTGTATATGCAAAAGTGTACATAGGGATACAGACAGCGCGACAGCTGCAGTTAATGGAGGAAACCTTGGAGGGTGCCTGGAGACTTATGTAACCACGGCTGCCATACAAAAATTCGCCAAATTCATTCGAAAGTCGCCAAAATGATTATCTTAAGTAATTCATGGTTCATGGTTAGTGGTTCATGTATATTTCTCTCACTCACACTGCCTTTTTTCCCATAAGGTCTCACAAACCTTCTAGTTAGGTACACTCAAGTCTAGTGGAACACAATCATAGGCAAAAAAATCGCCAATTTCAATCAAAATGAGCCAACAAGCAAAAAAAAAGTCACTGGTTTCGGCGTAAAATCGCATAATGTGGCAAAATCAGAGCCAAGGAAAGCCAACAACGATTTCAGTATGGAGGGAATGTATTTGTCTGAGGAATCTTACCGATTATCCTGCGGATATCGTCGATGTATTGCCTTAGATAATTCACTTTGGCTACTGTGGCGGTGCCAACGATGTGAAGGACGAAAGAAATGTGCGAGAAATGAGGTGGAGAATCGAGTCTGGTACGAGTAGTAGTAGTATCTCTGAGATGGATCTGCGAGGAATGCGAATTGTTTTGGTGCTGGCTCTACGTGGAATCTAAGAGGCAATCTACACAACTTACATAAATCCTTTCAAACGACACTCACAATAAAAAAAATCTTTCACTTTTGATTAAATGAAAACACACGCGCGTGGGACGGAGCAAATACTCGACTGAATATGGGGGATATATAGAACTCTGATAAATATACTATTTTATTTATATTTCTTTTGAAATTTGCAGTTTTCAGCTTGGGATCTGAGGACAGCAGCCTACACTCGCTGACGATCTGTGGAGCTATGAGCCTTGGCATGCGTCTGTGGCGCCTACGAAGCTTTTCTGTTCGTTCAACAAAATGGCTGCCCACACAAACACACAAGCACATACACACAGATACACCTAGGGAGCTCTTGCATAACCTTCGCCAACAGCGCGAGATGAAGAGCTGTTTGGCGCTCTCTCTCAAGGCTCTCTGTGTATGGGTATGCCGCTCGTGACGTCATTGATTTTTGGGGCAACCATCTTTGTTGAGCTGATGGCGTGGGCGGAGCTACAGCAGTAGGCGGGCACCAGATACACACACGGAAAAAGGAAAAGCCAAATTATGTGCGCAGGACTGCGGAGGCGGAGGCGGATGGGGAGTCCGGGCCTCCTCCCTCTGTCCCTTGCCCTTTCTCCTCCTGTGACGTGGCAGAATGAAAAGCTAATTAACAAACTAATTTCTGCCACTGTTTCTGACATTTACAATGGCCCCCACAACGCACAACTTTTTATGAGAGTTGGTCCTCACGAGCATCGAGGGAAAGCAATCTAAGTCTCCATAATTGCTGTTGCTGTTTGTCGGCCCCGTACGTAACACATTTGCTGCCTACATATAGTATATACTATACATATACCATATACATTTACTATATAATCGTGTTACTATATGGAGCAAGTCTAAATTTGGGTCAAAGCCCGCCCCTTCCACAGGAAAATATCTTTATCTAGTTGGGAAATTGCATTATTTTCAGCTGAACGAATTTCGAAGGATACTTTCGAGGGTCGCACACATACAAGCCCACGTTTGAGCGCGCATATAGGAGAACACTTATGTAATTGGGTGTGGTAGGAGGTGGGTGAAAGGAGGGCGGTCCGAGAAAATGCGGGGAGAAGCAGATGGGGGTGGGCAGGGGCCTAGCGAAATGCCAGATGACGTCCATCAAGCTGCCTGGTAAAGCGAAAAAACAACGAGAGATGTGAAAATATTTGCCCTCAGAGTGGGGGCCATCAGCATCATCATCATCCCTCCAGAGCTCCTCCCACCTCCCCCTCTCTTATCTGACAGCAAGCAGCATCTGCTGCTGCTGCAGGAAAGGATTTGCAAAGGCTTCTAGGAGGAACTCGTGCGTCATCCCCATCGATGCGGAGGCGGCGATGCCACTCGATAAGTAACTTTTTAAGTAACTTTGCTTTGCTTCATTTCTTTTCACTCTTTTCACTCCATCCCATCCCCAACTTAAACCCAAAGAGGTTTCTCTTATACTTACCATTATGGGGCCATAAGATGCTACAAATTCTTGGTTCTTGGTTAATGTTTAAAAATTGAATACTGACTAATAAAGATACATGCATATAAATGCTGTGACTATATATGTATATACGATATTTTATGGTTAAAACTTTATCCAGAACTTAAACACGATAATTTTAATTCGCAATCGAAGCTTTTCTACGTATACTATAAGTGCAAGAAAGCCGCAGCATGATGAAATTATACAAGGTGGTCCTTATTTTAGGGCTTACAACAGCAAATACAACAGCAAACTTCATTGTGATTGGATGTCTATTTAATTTGAGAGTATAAATAAGACCCGAAAGTGGGGGACTAGACCTTGGACCACTTTGTATAATTTCATCATGAGCTAGCAAATAAGATAATAAATGAGCTTTGACCTTTAAGAAAATCTGATTTTGCAACCCAGCAATTCAAACGCTCACAAATGATGTCGCACACGAGTCAAATGCGAGACTTAACCCTACAAAACTCCCGTATTTGGATCTGGAAATTATACAAATGTACTTTTTTCTTTCAGTTTGTGGCAGTGAAAGTATAATTTTGTATACTTTATACCTTTATACTTTATATCATGTAGCCATGTATCATCCTAGCAAAACAACAAACGTGCCTTCTTCGAGAGTCCCGCAAAATGCGTTCTTTGGCGTTCACCAGCCCTGTCGTGAGAAATCCATCACTGATCCCTGATTTCCCTGATACAGATATCAAACTTGATAGCTCGAAACTCGTATGTAGATCATATTGTTCTCTATAGAGTCTTCCATAGTAGCTATGTACATTTATAGAACTAGGACTATACCTAATAATTATAAGCCGTACATTCTCGTGGAAAAAGTTCATATTGGGGAGAAATTCCTTAAGAAATCTACACAGATTTTCTTTATTCACCGATCTACCCGAAAGTGTACTCGGAGACCATTTATATTTACCCAATTCTAAGAGTTAAGTACATATGAGAGATTCAAGATGAATCTTAAAATTTTAATTTATTAATAAAATAATTGAATGAATGCTTGTTATAAATATATGAAGATAAAAGCTTAAGTATCGGTAATCAAGATGGAATATCTCCTGCAGATGCTTTGTGATGCTCCATCAAGTTAAGTCCACCTTTCGTATCTCACTTTTGCAATAGAATTCTATGATCTTTTCGGGATTTTCCCTAATTTTTTTTGATAATTTCGAGTTTCTTTGAAATGCGGCAAATAAAAACTACCCTTTCTGATATAAGAATGATCTAGAAATACCTTCTCTAACTACGAAATACATGTGGAGACCCACCTGTATTATCTTTTTGACTCATTGACTGCCAGCTAAACCATCTTGCAGTCCCATCCATCACTTGTGTCACTCAAATATTCTCGATTGCAGAGCAAACACTCCTACGGCTATTGGCTTATCGGAGTAAAAAACCCCACTTCAGAGGCAAAAGCTACCAATAATAATTATCTCTTATCGGCGATCTGATGGCTAGACAGAGAGAGCAATAGAGGGCATATGGCGATGGAAATCTGCGATATCATATCCGAACCACTATTCGCACTTGACTCTATCGCGGCAGCCGACAAAGCCATCAAAAAAGCTACATTATTATTAACTTTAGCCACCATTTCCCTGGAGGTTCAGTTGGGCAACTGCTGGCATTCGGAACGGACAACTTTATGCATATATATATATAGCTCTAGCAGACATCGCTCTAGGATCATTTAAAGGGTAGTGCGAAGAGAAGTCAAGCGAATTTACGGAATATTACGGATCAAAGTAAGTAGAGTAGAAGCGATGGGTAGGAAATATTTACCTGGCTGTGTTTGCACGTAGCGCAGATAGGCCCTGTAACCCAGATAGGCGAAAATCTTTGGAGTTTTTCTCTCACCCAAAGAGGGGGGGTGGGGGCAACAGTGATAGGTCTGGTGGCGTTTTGGGCGGCGAGAACAGTACCGGAAAGATTGGATAGGGCGTTGCGACGCGTCCTCTTTCGCTCTCAACTCTCAACTGGCGGAACTGGCGGAAAAAGTTCCATGCGGCAACAGCTGCCGGTCCCGTCAGTGAAACAGGAGTTGGGGAACCAATTTAGACTGTCATTAAGCTGACAAAATAAAGTCGGGCCTGCTGTTTATCCAAGAGTTTATTCTGCTGTTTATTCGCTGAAGCGAAGAGTATGGGAGCTCCTGCTTATCGCGGAGCAAGAGCAGAAACAAAGGATGAATCCCTGAAATATCCTTTGAAAACGGCGTTCTGGGGATTCCTGGAAAATCGCCAATCGATGGCGCTTACATAACCCTTTTGGTTTTGGTAAATCAAGCGCATGAAATCGGAAACACAATGCACACAGGACGAGGCTCCAGGAGGTTGCTTTTTGCAGCCTACATTCGGGCGCGCGATAATTGCATTTCGAGCACAATTGCTCCTATTGTACGGACCACAGCCTGCTCCTCTGGATCCGCCTGCTCCAGCCCACAGATGCCATTACACATGCCAGCCATGACTGTTGGCCCCCAGCCACCCACCCGCCCAATCCCCACTCTTTTAGCTCCTCCTTCAGGCTTGCAACCCCAGCAATACCTAACCCTCCGTCTCTTTCTGTAGCCCAGCTCTGCGCCATCGACCATGTGGCCACCGGGAAGCCGACAGGGAAAGCGATATGGACTTGGAGTCGTCCTGCCATTGGCTGTTGGACTCCTGCTCTGCTCTGCGCAGACGCAAAGCTCTGTGACGTCATTAAGAAGCACTGCATCAGCAGCGGCAGCAGTAGCAGCAGGGGATACTTTGGGGGATGCTGCTGCTCTCAGGGCCACAGCAGCCCAAATCCTTGAAGACGCGCGACCCAGCAGCGTAGTTCAGGATTGGAGTTTGGTGTGCAAAGAGCTCTGCGGGTAAGTCTCGGAAGATAGAAATCCAAAGTGTCCTTGGATGTAGAGGATTTTAAAATTTTAAAATTTTAAAAGAAGTGCTAGAGATACATTTTTTTACAAGTTCCTCCTTTAAGTGATTTTTGTGAACTCATGATGATAATATAACAATTAAATGAAAACTCGAAAGTGAATACTCGACAGTGGAATGCGGCGGCGGCACTTCGAGTGAGGGTGAGGCCTCTGAAGAGCCCACCGTAATCGCGGCTGTCAAGCAAACTATGTGCTCAACACCTGATCGGGTGTACCCATATCTGAATCGGTGAATCTGTCAATAGCTCTAAGTGTTTCTATTTTTTTGAGTGATTAATTACGCTGTATACCCAGGGTCTTTTATTTACTCAAAGTTTGTATATATACATATATATTGTACTCGAACACTTAGATATCTCAAAATAAAATAGTTCGAGAGCTAAAATTGTAGTACTGAGATTTCTATGATCTCTAAACAGAAGAGCACTATGGCAACAATGTGATTTCTTTTTTTTTAGTTATTTATTTGTAACGAATTCTAATTTAAACAATATACAATAAAAGTAGATATATAATGGTTATGGTTTCGATTTCGAAATGCGTCGTCTGTGTAGGCCGTATGGCCGGTAATAAATTCAAAGAGCTGTAAATAAGAGCACACGTCTATGAAACCAATATCTAGTGATTTACCTAATTTCATAAAGATTAAAGTACTAAAAACAAAATCTTGAATAATAGTGGAAAATTTCTAATGGAAATATATTGATTCCAATAAGATAATCTTTCAACTCTTACGAGTTAGCAAAGAAAACGAGGAAAAAACTATGAAAATATTCCCATTTTCCATTACAGAGCCGGCCTGGGCGTTACGACGCCTGGCGAGGCCCATTCTACGATCCTGAGACCGGAAATTGATGCGGCCAAGTGCGGGCAACTGTGTGGACTGCCAAGGGGTTAGTGTCCATTTAGAACCGATCCTGCCTAGCCAAAGACCGATATGATCCATCGCCCATATATCCCATCCACCTATGATATTCCCCGACTAACTAACGTTCTTCCGTCTGCATATTTTCTTTCTGTTCCTTCGGTTCCTTGCAGATAACGTGGGCGATAGACTCTGTTCGAGCTTCTGCCATCAAAGGCATCGCTCGCTGTCCGGCTGCAGTCCATGCCAGGTGCAGGAGGTGGAGGAGCAGAAGGAGTGGAAGGAGGCCAGTGCAGTGCAAGGCAATGCCACACATGGTCCCAGATCCGGGGAATCCCTGGCGGCAGTAGCAGGAATTGCAGCCGCCTCGGATGGTACGACCACGGCGACACCCGACTGGAACGAATTGTGCAAGGCGCTCTGCAAGACTGGCGATGGCGGGTCATTGTGCAACTGTGATCTATCGCCGTTCTTCACCTGAAAGGGGAACCCCCAGGTGCGATGGAAGGCGCTGGATCACAAATAATTTATATATATAATTCAAAAGTTATATAACATTTTGTTGTTCTTCGTTTTGGACTTGAGTTAGTGCTAGTGTTGTCTTTATATATACATATATTCTATATTCCATATCTTGTTGCGAGAGTTTAGTTGAAATACTGTAAAGAACAAACAAAAATCGATAGAAAAAAGGTAAATCAAACAAAAACCAAAAACCAAAAACCAAAAATACAAGCACTATGCATATATATGAAAGAATCACGCGCAAAGCCGGAGGAAGAGCGAAAATTCGAAAATTCCCTATGCGAATCAATTAATTTGTAATTAATTTCAATTATAAAAAACGTAACTATAGAAGAAAAGCTATATAGGAAGTAAGCGGAGGAGAATCCAACGGCAGAATCACGCAGGGCTTCCAGTGTCCCCTCGCTGGATAGAAGGATCACTCATCCCTTGGGCATCCGGCGTGGGGGCACAACCCACAGTATTAGGTGATTGGAATAGGGAGACACAACCAATTAATATCAACAAACACAACATATCGTGGTAAATCAATTACTTACACTCAACGTAACTCACATCGGACTTTTGATTGACCTTTTTGTTTTTTGACGGAATCAGCATATCAATTTACGAAGGAGGCAGGAGGCTATCTGAAGTTGGTATCCGAACAGTTTTTGTTCAGTTTTTTGGCTTACAAATTATCGGCAAATCAAAAAAGATAAATAAAAGATAGTCATCAATTATATGTGTCACATTAGCGGCCACGTTAACCAAGAGTTTAGTGTTGGTTACAGCCACTTACAGATATAAATATGAATATAAATACGATATTGGTCTATATCTATATATCTATACACAAAATGAGTTGCGATTGCAAATCACAAACTCAAAGGCGGGACAAAACCCTGAACCCTGAATACCCGCATACATTTACAATTACTATAGAAATCATTCTATATATATACATATTTAACATATATGCTAACATTATCTGTGTGTTTGGAAGACATTTTTTCGCATTGTATGAAATGGAAGACAATTTCAGCAAGCAACAACAACAGCAAAAAGCATTCTGGAAGACATGCGTCAATTTAATGGGGGCCCACACCATCCAGCCCCCTTGCAACTAGTTCAATAAGACCCTAAAACAAAATAACATAAATAATACTATACTAAACTTAATCCTTATTTCGATTCAAAAAAGAACAAAGAAAAACCTAGTCAATGGCTAGCACACGTTGTTGTGTCAAACGCGACGCTGTGACTGACAATAATTACTAGAAATAATACAAAAAAGATAGATGGAGATGGAGATTTGGGTATTCAGTGTCTAAATATCTAAATATACTTAATCGCGCACCTATACTATATATAATATATGATATATAATACAATATATTGCACCGAACGATAATTACGAGATTATTTAGATGGAGATCATCGCAGGAGTTTAAGAAGCATTATTCAGAGCACATTCATTGATAACCTAATGCGGCTTCAGTATGTATATCGATGTGTAGCACGTTAATCAATCACTAATTACAAAATACTAATCGTACTACTAATCGTACTCCAATGCACTTGCATTTATGTATATGTGTTAGGCGTTGCGTTTCTGCCATGAATACTGCGGCTAAGGAACCATAATATCAACCATTATTGTAAACCAGATTAACTAATAATCAACTCTATAAAAAACATCATCATCAATTGCGATTACAATTGCAACACCGAACCGAAAACCGTTTCGCAGTTTGTTTTCGTTTGTTGTGGCAAGGCAAGAGGCATCGATCTAGCCCGCGTTGGGTGGATACGATTATATAAAATAGCAGATAGGAAGAACCATAGTTGAATAGCTTGAAATGCCATATAGTATGTATGCCGCGAGTGAAATAACCCCGAAGAAAATCAGAAATTTAAAGACAATTCCACACAAGTAACCGAAAAACTGACAAAACAAAATAACAAAAACAAAAGCAAGCATTCAAAGTAAAGGCAAATATATCTATTATCTGTTAAATGTTGTAAAGCCCCTCTAAACACAAAAAAAAAAGAAAAAACGAACAAACCAAAAGTCTTTTATTTGGGTGGGAAAGGAAATGGGGTAGGCCATCAAATTCCGTATCTTCATAGGTCCTAAATGGGCGATATATGTAAAGTCGTGATAAATACCCTCGTTGGACCGCGATTAATCAAGAATTTACGTGCAGAAACTACTTGTTGGCGGTCAGACATGGTTCTTTTTTGTATACCTGGTACTCGAAGAGGATAGGTCTATACCAGCTTTGCAGTGGATTTGAATGTGTGTAACACCCAGTAGGAAGCATTTGCGAATCCATAAAGTATATATATTCTTGATCAGCATCAATAGCCGAGTCATTATAGCTTAGTCTGCATGTCCATCTGTCCACAAGGAGTATAAGAGCTAGAGCAACCAAATCTTGTGTGCAGTCTCCTGTGATATCACACTGAATTAAGTTTTTTTTTAAATTTTGCCACGACTCCAGAAAGATACGAAACAACCAAAAACACATCATCATAGAGAGCCACCATATTTTCGAATCTTGATCACTTTTTATCATTTTTAAAGCCAGAATGAAGAAATACATTTAGACTGGCTTCGCTACCCCTTCCACGCGCTACCTAATTCTCTCTCTCTCTCTCTCTTCCTCGTGCAGTTTGCGCACTGCTGAACGGCTGGTTATAGTATGAGAAAAGAGAGAGAGAGAGACAGATCTGAATAAAAAAACAGAAAAAATATTAGTTGTAAAAAAATAGGTCATTATGTTGTAACGTATCCCCATTCAGGCTGAGGTAAACTCAGTCGCCTTCTGTCACATTCGTGGGGGCGGTCAGGCTAGGGGACACAGAGCGTATCACATCTGTGGGGTCGGGTTGAAGGACTCGGACCGTTTCACATCTGTGGGGTCGAGAAAGGGGTACGGAGCGTACCCGCACTCGTGTGGATGGTCGGTTTGAGGACGAGGAACCAGTAACAGGTAGATAGGGAGGAGTCAGGGCATTGAAAATATCGCCTAAATCAAATGAGTTTTTATTCGTAAAATTATCTTTAATTGAGTGTGCCGAGTTTTTAATGCAAGGGAAGAAAAAGGTTGCCGCACGGAGCAACGTTGTGACTTGGGCCGGGTTTACGGGTAACTGTTGTTAGCTTTGGAATCCTCGCAGCCACCGATCGCCTGCGGATGAATAAGTGTCGGGAGTATGTGTTGGTTTGGGATAAATCTCAATTTTAATTCTTGCACGCACAAAATCATATATGTCTGCCTTTGAATAAAATGTCAACGTTAACGGATTGACACAAAAAGCACAACTTTATTGATTTGACTTGCCGCCAAAGGAATTGTGGTTCACTGCTTCGTCAAGCTCTTCAAGCAGTCTACATATAACCGTTTCGAGGAGTTTTCATACTGCCTTAAGCAGTATTATATGTACATGCTTAATGCCAAAGTTCTTGCTTGGCGCAATAAAATTCAAATGCACTGCTTTGAAAGCTCAAACACTCAAAAATCTCAAGCAGTGTCTAACCGTTTCGAAGAATTTTCAACTGCTTTAAGCAGTATATTAAAATTTGAATCACTAGAAACAGTAACAGTAATATATACCGGGTTCTGGAACAACTAGCATTATTCATTAGCATAATAGTTATTTAGTAATTAATTATGCTAATGTGCCACAACCCATATTTACCCATCTATCACTATTATACATATCGATTAATATTTATTTCTATTTTGTATTAACATTAATTAATAATTGAAACAAGCGTTCATCTTCTGTTAATTTGCTTATTTATTGCGCATGCATGATATATTCAAACATAATCATTGGACAGAAGAAGGCAAACATAAACTGGACGTGGTTTTTTCTCTATAATTAAATTAATTTAAAAGTCACGTTAGTTTAGTGGTCGGTCGAGTACAAATATTTAACAAATTCATGAGTATACATTTCAACTAATTTATAATTAAACGAGGAAGATGCATTGTGCTTGCGCCTTGGGCGTTAGTTAATTAGTACGATCCTCGCATATTAAGTACAAAAGAAGGCTAGTCAGTGGTCAGTGCCCGATCGGTGATCGCTAGGAGGTGGTTAACAAAATAAATGGGTTGAAAACGACAGGCGTATCATCGAAACGAAACTTAGCTTCATATTTCGGATATCAATCCCTCAATCTATCTCCTACTGTACTGGTTTCCCCTTAGCAATATTCTTAGAAAACTTGTTAACCTAGTATATCGTAATTTACATTGGCAAGTATGAATCGTTAAGTATTTGTTGGGTTTGTAGCTTTAGACGTTAGTATAATAGATTTCGAAGGGCTCCTCATGTCAACAGCCGTCGCTTTTGCTCCCAGCGGCAGCTCCTGCTCCCACAGTGTCTTTTGTGCTCGTATATGTTCTGTTCTGGTCTTTTTTGTTTGATTCCCGTGCGCGGGCCAGGGTACGCGACAGGGATTAGCTAATCGACATCCGATTAGAAAGACGTCTTCATCATTCAGTCGCTAGCTCATCGATGCGACACCGCACGGCGTGTTCGAGCACCTCCAGGCTGGCGTAGTCAAGCTCTTTGACCAGGCAGAGCGTGGCAGACAATAGATTGGAGCTCTGACGAAAAGGGAAATGATTCAGTTATACATATATCTTATCGATATTGTGCCATTTACTCACCCGGTTAATGGGTCGACGATGATAGCCCGAGTAATGATTCGCCACAGAGGCTGACACGTTGTTAGTGGAATCGCTGTAGCGACCCTCCGGCCGTCTGCTGGAAACGAACCAAATATCTAATATCCCCGTACGAATCCTATGCAATCCCATTGCTTACCTTGATCGTGGCCTCTCCTCTGGGTCCCAATCCCCTCCGTTCTCACGCGCACTTCCATTCCGGTAGCCAGTGAAACGATCTCCACTCTCGGGACCGACGCTGCGACGTTGTGGGTGGTTCAGCATCTGGCTGCCGTACGGATTGTGGTGGACCTGCGGCACTTGGTGCTGCTGGTGCTCCTCCCATTCGGTGAGGTCTGTCTGGCTATGGCGATAGTGTGCCGGGTAGGTCGGGCGATCCGACTGATAGTATTCCTGTTCGGGGAATACCAAAATTAAAAGGGGATTTGCATATCGAACATCGATTCATCATCGTCTGAATGTGGGGGCACCGAGTGGCAGCAAGCCCCTTACCTTCATCGAATGTGCGGATATGCTGGGCGGGATGGGCGCTGGTCGCACCTCCCGATAGCCAGCATTTGGGCTGCTCTCCTGGTCAGAGCCCGGCGAGCGCTGCTCGTCATTGGGCGTTGGTTAGTGGTGCAGATGTTTTTAGTCGGGGGTTGAGTTGTGGTTGTGGTTTTGGTTGAGGTTGTGGTTCGGGTGGTGCATGGTTTTTGTGAAAGAGTGAGCACATTAGAGACGTTAAATTCGCATTGGTGACCCCCCAACGGCCATCCACATGACGGAATGTTGAGCAAGTCGCACTGTTTTTTGGGGCACAATCTAATGCTGCTTCAATGGCTCATTAGCCCGTGTAGCCCTTCCTCTATTCTCTGCATATATAATGACCCATTTTTCCCCGTTTCAGTTTCGGCTTTTGTTCGCTGTCGATTTGGGCTTCTTTGGCAATTATTGTTTGGTTTGTCTCTCTCGTTTTCCCCTCCCCCACCCCCCAGTTCGCCCTGTGGCTCCCAAAGTCAACTGGCTGACTTAAGCCACAAAAGCAAGCAGACAATGGGTCCGATGGCCAAGCGACGGGAAAAAGAGAACCTTAACCATGTCGCTGTCGCAGCCGAAGCCGAAGCCATCGCGTGACTCTTTCAAGGGGTTACCCTCCTACTTCAACCAAGTGTGACGTGCCCCCATCCACGCCCTACCCTACCCTATTCAGTAGGGTGCCCCCAAAAAGTGGGCTCGGCAACGAGGCTCAGCATATTGTCATGATGGATGTGCGTAGGGCGGTGGCGGTGGCTGGTTAGGAAGTGGATCTTACATCGTATTGCTGATAGGAAGTGCGCTGCTCTTTGGTTAACGTGTTATACATGGGCGATGGCGGATGCACGGGTTCCTGGGAAAACCAAGACAGATTAGTTTTTAGTTTTTGGGATAAGGAAGGGGAGATTAAAGATTATTCTGGAAGGTTTTCCCTGTTCAGTTATCTTGGGTATATTCCTTTCAGGACTCATATTTATAAGCAGACAAACAGACACTCCTAACTTGATGGATCCACTGCCTTCTCCTGCACTCCACAACTCTCCTATGGGATTCTCCATTCTCCATTCTCTAGGGGTTACCTTGGTGGGTGTTGGGGGCTTGGAGCCATGCACTGGCAGCACCTGGCTGCCACCTAGATCGCTGGCACTGTGTGTGATGGTCCCTTCGCAGCTGTGGTTGCCCGGCGGGCTGGCTAACAAAAGCGGCTTGTTAATGGGAACGGGATTAGCAGGAGTGGAGATACAAAGACGTGGCGAGAGTTCAGTTAAGAGTTAAAAGTTAAGAGTTAAGATTAAAGCCAAGGCGAGTGTGAAACCAGGGCGTGGCGTGGGAGAGTCTCGACAATGGTAGCGATTTACCTCTCGCATGATGGGACTCGAGCTCTGGCGCTGCTGCTGTGGCTGTTGTTGAGGTTGCTGCTGCGTCTGTGGATGATACTGCTGCTGCTGCTGCGGTGGCGGCGAGTGTGTGGGGTAGCTATGCTGCGGCGATGTACGCTGCTGCTGTCGTACCTCATAGGCATCTTCGTACACCTCATCCTCGGGCACCGAACCGCTGCCGCCGCCGCCGCCGCCGCCGCCACCGCCGACGCTGCCACCGCGACGCAAGGCATCGTCCACCTCCTCCTGTGTGACTTCCACATTATCGAGTTTCTTCAGATTGGGCAAAGCGCGCAATACGATCGCCCGATAGCTGCAAATGCGGTGTGAAAAATGTGAGTACCCATTGGAGGGCTTCTTTCGACTGAAATCGGAGGGGGGGCATTACTCACTTGGCGCCGGCCTGGTCACAGAATGGATTCTCCTCAAGCCAGAGGTTCCTCAGTGCTGGCAGATTCTGCAGGTAAGCAATCTCATTGATGTCCTGAATGTGGTTCTTGCGCAGATATAGTTCCTGCAGCTTCGAGCAGTCTTCAAAGTGCGCCAAGGTGCTGATTTTATTGACGCTGCACAAGAACAGTAAAACAGAGAGAAAGAGTTTCAGAAGAATGTCTCACAAGCTGTACGAGTATCTGTGGTTCAACAAACTTTCTCTGTTATAAAGCGACAGAGGCGCATCGGCCTCCAACTAACTGCCGTGAATCATGAAAAGATTCTTTCGGTGGCAGCTGCGTGGAGAGGTCATTAACTCTGTTGAAACCGAAGAATGCCACACAAGCGACCGCCGTTAAAGAAGCACCAGATGGGCAGAGGAGACACGCTCTTTGTCATCATCTGTATCTGTAGGTCAGTTTCGTAGAGCCGTCTCCCCCGGTTAGCACCTCCATCCATCGATTCATCGATGCTAATTACTTTCAAATGGCCAATTGCCTGAGGCAAAGGCAGAGGCGCGTGCTTTGATTGTTCCACCCCTTTTCGTGGCTCTGGCACCCCCCCACCGATAAGATAAGATATGGGGCCGACGGAGGAAGTGTATAAATAAGTGGCTAAACTTAGCCACGACTCGTCATTAAATGGCACACGGGTGCATTGCCTCGAGGAGAGTCGACTCGAGTTGTCTCCGAGTGGCTCTGGAGCCGTTCCACTATTTTTAGGGCTGGGAACTAAAGCAGGCCACTCGGGAGTGGAACCATCAGAGAAATAGTATGCATAATCCGGGTCCCCCATTAACGTCAAGGTTGCCCGCAAGAGTCATGGCACTAGGCACTCGGCCCTCGGCACTCGGCCCTCGAGCCCCGAGGAGCTGGAGGAAAGTGCCAACGGCACGCAATTCAAATCAATATGGATTCCTTAATAACCAAAAGGAAATGGAAAAGGGACTACGCCAACGCGTTTCACCTGAACTGATTTATGGGCTCACATAAGAACATTGCGTACCCCGGCCACTCCAAGGCAAGGCCTAGCACAACAGGCCTAGCTCTCTCTTCCCCCCACGCATATAAATGCCAAACAGACAACAACTGAAAAAGAAACCCAGTTGTTCCTTTCTGCCCAACGACTGGGAACAAAAAGGTTTTCCTTGTTAAATGCTAAGTAAAAGGCAGTCAACTTTGATAGTCGAAGGGGATCTAGAAGTTGTTGCCCCCCAATATACAATACACAATATGCAATATTCTGCTATCTATTACGAGTAGCTGATAAACCCTAATGATAAAGCAAAGCAAAGTTGAAGAGCCTCGATTGCGGCAATAGCTTCCTGATAATAGGCATGCAATACACATAAGTAATAAGTATACGTAGATCTGAAGAGTGCTTAAAGAGTTCTTAGGGTGAGTACAAAGGTAAGGTCTTTATGGAATACTGTATATCTCCCAAGAATATATTGTAAGTCTCAATTTCTATCTTGGAACCCCTTTTATAGAGTTTTCCATGGCCCTAACAAAATCAAAACACTGACTAATCTACAAGCCTGTCCGATTAATTCTACATACCATATTTAGGGATAGATGGAGACAACATTTTTTAATTTCGAACATTTCGTATGCCAATCGATTGGTGTATTCTTAAATATTCTGAAAAGGTATAGCTTTGAGGTTTAGGGCGAACATAATCAGATAAATCTAACGTCGAAGTTGACAAATTTGATTCATAGCTTAAGCCACAAGAGATACTACTTCATAAGTCTCTGTCTCTGTCCCTGTCCCTCTCTCTTGTCTTTCTACAATAAGATGCTGTTTATCAAGATACTCTTCCTGCTCTTCCGATACCTCAAGTTCAATGACAAGCATTCATCATCAGAGCACTCCCCGTATGGCCATAGCTTTTGCATACACCTCTCATATTTATACGAATACGAATATATATATGTACATATATGTATAGTCATGCATCTGAGACTTGTCAGCATATTGCCAGCAGATGACGGCGAAGTTTTAACTGGGGGTTGGGGGGAATCGATTTCGTTGACCTTGACAGTCAAAACTGATTGTCGCCTTTTAAGGCAGCGCTATGGCATGGCATGCAATCCAATCATCGCAAGTACAAATACAAGTACAAGTACAAATATCGCTGAAAAGAGTACAGATTGTACAGAAGTATCTTTTACAAGTATCTCTGGAGCCAGTCTCTGAAACAAGCCCCCCCTACGCACTCGCCACAAGGGGCCCACGCCACGCAGCTGGAAAAAGTACGAGGCAAGCGACTGGCTATTGCCAATTTTGGAGCTCCCACGACTTTTAGCTTATATTTCGTATCTGCTGTAGTTTTTGTTGCCTCTTTTTCGTTTGCATTAATTACGCGCGTTACGAGCGTGCCAAAGTATTTCTCGTATTTCTGCCCGCCTAATGATGATGCCGGAGCGAAGCGGCGATGACATCACTTGAAAGCAAATATCAAAGCAATTCGTACCGCGGAACCGAAGCGTACTCAATCAGAGCGGGCTTGCAGGAAATGAAGATGAGATGATCCTTATATGAGGGAATGACTTACCTAAGCGCCAGCACCTCGACACCACGCATGCGCTTGATGATGGATACATCGGTGAGATCACTTCCCCTGAAAGAAACGGAGAAAGGAGAACAGAGATAGTGATACAGTTAGCCCTCTCCTAAATGATTGATTCGTGCAGTGAGTGCAGTCCGTATCTGAGATGGGCTTGAGAGCATAGTAGGCTGTCTGCTGCTCGAAAAAGTAGTTCAACTGCTTTTTAGTGCCTTTTCCAAGCATTTTCATGGCACTCTAAGCTCTTGAGTGGCAGGCGTTTTTCCACTCGCCAACGGAGCGGAGGCAGTCGTGACGCTCGGCAATGGACGACACTTCTAAACTGGTTAGAAGATTGCCCCCGGATTTGGGTCAAACTGGAGGGGCACCAGTACCAGCACCAACACCAGCACCGGCAGACACCCCAGTGAAAGCCGCCAGAGCATGCCCCAAAAAGTGGGCAGATACCCAAACAGATCGGAGCTCTAGCAAGGGGCACGATACGGTACGCTTTCACCTACGTTTTCTGCTACTGCACCTGCACGATTAACAATAGAGATCTATCGCAGCAGCTTACCAGCAATTCAGTTTTGTAATTAGGCCCAGATCCGATTGCTTGGACCGAGCTATGACCATTTCCTCTGTGAGGCGCGTCATTGTGTGTTGCTTTCCAGTGACCCGTGCAGTCGCAGTCCCAGTCCAGTCCACGGGTTCCAGTCGCCACCAAACAGGTGTGCCTGCCGCTCCGTCTACGCTCTGCTCTCTATATGTAAACCGCACACAAATGACCAATTTCAGATGCGGCTGGGGGCACGTAGAGAGGTTGAGTGGCGAACAAACAACAGGTTACCACGATATATCTCTATATACACATATATCTAGTGGTTGTAATTGTTGTTGTTGTTGTTGTTGTTGTTGTTGTTGTTACCGATTCGCCTTGACGTTGTTGTCTCTGACGTATGTAGTTGTTGCTTTTGTTGTAATCACTGGCGTGTCGTTGTAGGCGTTGTTTCAACTGATGCAATTTCGTAATTATGAGAGGCTTGGAGTTCCTTCGAATGGAATTCGTATGGGAGATACCTCCTCAGCGAATCTCGCAGCAGCGCACTATCTCTCGCACGGATGCACGGATGACTAAGCACCGCGGTTGTTGCGCTTTTATTTTTACTATCAACGTAATACACCGATTACACTCGACTCGACTCGACTCGTGAAGCTGTAGCTGTAGCTGAAACTGAAGCTATTTTCGTGTGTTTCTCTTTTAGAATTATTGTGCGAGCCGAAATATAACGAAAATAAATGTGAATTGTTTTTAACCCCGTAAAAATAGTTCACTTTTTGTCTGGATCGATTTTTTGAGCACAGATGTTTTCTGTATACTTCCTTCCGTAAGGTTTGCTGGTGTAAGAATGAGGTTTTTGAATAAGCTGACTATGGCTCTATGTTTTGAGTTGACACTAGGTTCGCAAGGGCAAACTTTGTTTAACAAAAACAAAAAGATTTTCGAATTTTCCATGCACCGTTTTTTTGCAACCAACAAACGAAGTCTTCGCCTGCTTTACAGGTATTTCTCTCTGTTCGTGTGTTCGTGTGTGTGGAGCAGAGTGAGACGAAAGACCAGACTCGCGCGTGCTTTACACAATGTTCCGCTATGTGCTATGTTAATAAAACTAATAGTTTTTCCCCAGTCGGTGCGCTCGCAACAACAGTCGCCACTGTACAGACTGGGGCCTTTTGAGGCATGTTGTGCAGCCGGAGCGATGGAGCTTTTTGCTCCTCACACACACACCCACGTAACATTTGTTGTCTCTGTTTACGAATAGAGTGTGAAGCGGTAAGGCGTGAAGGTTGGTTGCATTTCGACTAAAAATCGAGGTGGCTATAGGGCTGCCACCAAGTATGGTATAATTCAATTATATTATAGCGGTTAAGTTTAGTCCAAGCTTGTTCATTTTCCTAAACAAGAACTAGCATTACTGACCATCGATTTTATCCCCAGGGTCAACAAATTCCAATAAAATAATCTACATGTCATCATAATCAGATTCTGGAAAAGGATCCTATTCTTAAACAGTTATTTAGTTGCGTTTGTTCGATTTTCCAAATATTTCAACCCTGTCCAAAAATCAAAATTAGGCGCGTACAAATTTTGACTAAGGGAAAATGTGCAAATATACACATTTATAAATATAAAAAAATGTTATCAGTAGATCAACCATTTTAATAATTTGCTGGACTTAGAGGTATCAATAACTCAACTTTGTGCAAATGTGAACACGAATTCAGGTTATTGAGTTAACTCAACTATCGATAGGTAACGAACGGAAATTTGAGCCTTTCCAATACCCTGAAAATGGCCAGCATCTAGTATTTTACTTTAATATATATTTCTTTATTTATATATTTTCGGATTCTCAAATCATTCGTCCGTGCATCATTTATTCCAATGCATTACATTTAAATCGTTTTCGCTCATTCACTTTCAAACACTTTCTATTTGGCGCGCACCACTCTTTGTTTTTTTTCCTAATCGGTTAAGGCTCTCATTTTCGCTAAAACCTTTTTTTACGCAAAGTCCAATAAAAGCATGTATTTAGAATAAGCCAGCTAAGTAAAAAATTGATTCATTAATAGGTTAAAACTATTAAGGCATGGCTAAATATTCTATATAGCTGGGAATATTCGACAGAATATCAAAATTAAGGAATATGTAAAATATAACTTGAATTCGTCAGTATATTTACGGTATATTTTTTAAATGAGACGGTATGTTTCGGTATATTTAGGAGGGTCGGACGGTATATTTTTTCGATAAATCCGCGGTCCACATTGCTGTTTTGTTTGCTGAAAATGTATTTTACTTAAATATATATTTCTTTATTTATAAATTTTCGGAAACGAAGCACATTAATTTCGTGTCGCGGAACGGAAAACATTGCTGCTGCGGAGCGACGCCACAAGACAATCGACTATTGAATTGTGGAAACAAAACATCATCATAACCTTGGGCGTGTATTAATTACTCGCTTCAAGCAGCTAGCCCCAGCAATTCTTCTGACATCTCCTCTACCCCTCCTCCTCCATCTCCACCTCCCGCCCCAAGTGACCGAGTGGCGGATATAGCAGCAGAGCAAACATCTGGCGAGATAAGGGCGATCCGCTCCCCTCCCCGTCCCAACGAACGAATTTATTGCAAAAACGGGGAAAAAGTTTTTTTTTGAGCTGCGGAGAAACGTCGAAACGTAAGTTGGATTACGTCATCGTTTGGGAGCAATTTTAGACGGTGATTGTTTGTGTTGCTATACATTTCTAGACTCTGTTCGCTGGTCGCTGGTCGTTCTGTTCGCGGCGCTACTCTAGTATTGGACGGCGACGCCCCCTCATCATTGTGTATCTGAAATAGGCTATAGATTGCGACTGAAACGGACGATGATTCATGTCGGTGAGAACACCTGGAACCTGCAGATCCTCATCACAGATCTGCAGGTAGAGAAGACGCTGCGGGTGAAGGGAGATCAGCACATTGGCGGAGTGATGCTCCAGCTTGTTGACCCGGAAATGCCCAAGGACTGGTCGGACCATGCCCTGTGGTGGCCCGCCAAGAACGTTTGGCTAACAAGGACACGCTCCACACTGGACCAGGCCGGAGTACAGTCGGACTCGTTCCTACACTTTACACCCATGCACAAAACACTGAGGGTGCAGCTGCCCGATCTGCGGTATCTTGACTACCGCGTCAACTTCTCGGCCAAGACCTTTGGGGCCGTGGTGAACCTGTGCAAGGATCTGGACATACGCTACCCGGAAGAGCTGTCCCTCTGCAAGCCCGTGGAGCAGGAGCACTTGAAAAAGAATTTCTCGAAGCTACCACAGAAGAAGATCCCTGTGGCGGAGGCCAACGGCGTGTCCTACCTCCAGCCGGCCCCGGACACCAACTCCTTTGTGCCCATTGCCGCAGCTTACAACGGTAGCAACGGTAGCCTGGACAGGTCGCACAATGGCAATCTCCTGTGTGCCCCTGCCTCGCCGTATGCCACCACACCAAGGAGGGCGGCCACAGCACCGGGAACACCGATCAGCTCGCCCACAGGGACATGGAAGCACAGCTCCAATGGATACGCCAGCTACGATTCGAATTCCAGTTTCGGCGACTTCCAGGAGAACCTGGCCGTCTCTCCCCGATCCCCCAGTCCGGACGTGCGGGCCCGTCTGGTGCGTCCCAAGACCCTGGTGGAGAAGGCACGCCTTAATGTGGGCTGGCTGGACTCCTCGCTGTCCATCATGGAGCAGGGCGTGAGGGAGTACGACACACTCTGTTTGCGCTTCAAGTACTTCACCTTCTTCGATCTGAACCCGAAGTACGACCAGGTGCGCATCAATCAGCTGTACGAGCAGGCCAAGTGGTCTATTCTCAACGAGGAGCTGGACTGCACCGAGGAGGAGACCCTCATGTTTGCCGCCCTCCAGTTCCAAGTGAACCACCAAACGGAACTGCATCCGCCCGGCATAGATTCCGGGATAGAGACGTCGAGCCAGGAGAATGGCGGAGAGGATGACATCGATTCAGCTCTGAATGAGCTGCAAATTACACTCGAGGGACCCAGCAATGGCAAAGATCAGGGCAACATAACCAGGATACCCGAGCTGTCCGACTACTTGAGATTCCTCAAGCCACAGAGGTTCACCCTCAAGGGCTACAAGCGCTACTTCTTTACCTACCGGGATCTGCACTTGCATCTTTACAAGTCGCAGGAGGATTCGCGTCGAGGTGCTCCCACCATCAGCATCAACCTGCGCGGCTGCGAAGTGACTCCCGATGTTCATTTGGCCCAAGGAAAGTTCGCCATTCGTCTGGAGGTGCCGCCCGAAGGCAGGAGCGGGCCCAACAGCGAAGTCTGGGTGCGGTGCGAGAACGAGGAGCAGTACGCCAAGTGGATGGCTGCCTGCCGTCTGGCCGCCAAAGGCCGTTCTCTAGCCGACAGCTCCTATGACAGCGAGGTGAGCAGCATTCGATCCCTGCTGCAGATGCAGAAGCCTGCCCAAGGAGCTCCCCTGACCATCAATCCACGCAGCGTGGAGCCCATGGACTACCTGTCGCCCAAGATGCTGCGCAAGCTGTCCAGCAAAGCGGTGCAAAGGATACTGGAGGCGCATGCCAATGTGAAGAAGCTGCCGCTGATGGAATCGAAGCTCAGGTACATACAGGCCTGGCAATCCCTTCCAGACTTTGGCGTCACGCTGTTCATCATCAAGTTCGATGGCCACAAGAAGGAGGAGCTGCTGGGAGTGGCCCACAATCGCATCATGCGCATGGACCTCAATTCGGGCGACCACATCAAGACCTGGCGCTACAACACAATGAAGGCCTGGAACGTGAATTGGGGCATCAAGTGCATGATGATTCAGTTCCACGACGAGAGCGTGGTATTCTCTTGCCAGTCCGCCGACTGCAAGGTGGTGCACGAATTCATTGGCGGCTACATCTTCATGTCGATGCGCTCCAAGGAGAACAATCAGACCCTCAACGAGGAGATGTTCCACAAGCTGACGGGTGGATGGTCGTAAAGAGATCATAGCAATCATAGAGCGGTGGAGATGTAGATGGAGGAGTACAGCAGCAGTCTTACAAGTGCCAAGCACAAACTTCGTCGCATGTTTTATCTATATTTAAAGAGTTCGTGTGTGTATGTGTAAATGTTAATGGAAAAATGGAAACGAAGATAGAGCAGCAAATACCTAGACTAATAACGACCTACACTGATGATAACAATGTTGTGCCTTTTGCCAGAAGCAATCTTAACCAACTCCAAGTCAATGTTCTGTGTACTGTGTTCTGTGTATGTATTTCTAACAGTCCGACAGTCCCACAGCCCCCAAGCCCCAAGCAGCATGTTAAAGCTACAACTTTAGTCCAAAGTGGGGTGATATAGCCCCACAATCAGCCTTTTTTTTTACTACTACTCTTCGTACAGTTTATTGTGTGTGGACTAACCAGCAGTTTTATATATTGTATATTTATTAAACAAATTAATAAGCAGAATAAATTATTTGATACGTTTTTAATGATCGTAAACAACATGATCGTGTCGTGTCGCATTTATTTGCATATACTCCACTCAATCCAGGCATCCAGACAGATGATAGCAGCTGGAAACTCGAACCCTGAGCTGCGCTGAGCTGCTCCTCTGGGTGCTTACTCATCCCCCATGGCGGAGGGGCGTGCTGTAATATAAAGCATGCTTATTGTTATTAATAACAATTTCAATTGAATTGATAAGCAGAGGAGCGACGTGGACTCATTCTTTGCCCTATACGGAGATTACACAGACACTCCATGGGGTTAGCCGTTGATTGATGACAGCGTTGAAGAGTTATTCTGAATGGGGTCGCATCTCAGGGGGCACTGCAAAGATGGCATGGAGGCATGCAAAATCAAAGAAGTCTTCAATTTAATTCAATTAGGGACAATAAAGTTGTAGCTGGAGAAATTTGCTATGGTCTCTGCCAGTTTACATAGAAATCCAAATGAAAGGGCTTACAACCTAATTGAAAAGCTTTTTTAAATTCGATAAGTCAATCCCACAGTTTCGCGCTGTTGCACGATGATTCGATAACCAGTTCCAGTTCAACTGCAGTGCTGTGTAATTGTACCATTTGTACTTGAATCCAGTATATTTCCGGTATGTTTTTAGAATGAGACGGTATATTTAATCGACACTGATGTTCTTGCCACCACATCTAGCGCACACACCTTGCAAATTTTCTACATTTCACAGTATTTTCTAGAATTTTCCAATATATTTTAAGACGACTTAAGGATTCACCGTCTTGTCCAATGCACCAATGTAGAAACCGTGTAGAAATGCCACTTGGAGCCGTGTCCCAGGCCACAACGAATTAGTATTCAAGATCAGCATCGAATTCCTGATCGCTTGCCATTAAAATCTCAATTTTTTCAAAAATGTTGGAAAAAAAGGCATTTCAAAAAGTGAATAGCGGAGGTTTTTCACACTGGCGCTTCCATGGAGTTTATATACAAAAAACGGGCAACAATTTTTAAAACACACACTTCCCTTCAGGTGTCGCCTTTGCTAATTACATGACAACGAAGTTAAAATGTAGCAAATGTGGAGTTATCGTGTAGTTACCATGTAAGGAAATTAATTTAGTGGAAATTGTTGTTGACCGGTTTGGCTTAAACCTTATTTTATAAACAATCCAATAAAGGTGAGAACTTAAGGTTAACTAGTCTTGTGGGAAATTGTTTTACCAATAGGATAAAATATCGAGTTCAGAGCTGAGGGTCTTAGCTAGCTGGTAATATTCAACCGAATATCAAAAACGAGGAATATGATGCAAATTGATTACTAATAATTCATCAGTATTTGTACGGTATGTTTTAAAATTTGTGACGTATTTGCTCTTTTGGCCTCGTGTTTGCCGTCATATTTTGAACGAAAATTCTGAACTTGTGCTAAACAAGCCGACTAAGTATTCGAAACATACTTTTAGTATACACGGGGTTACTGTTTAAGGACTGAGCATCATAATGAGCACCGAATCAACGAAACCAGCGCCCAGCCAGGAGGCAATTGTGGCCCAATTTCAACAGCTGCGAAACGACCAGCGAAATTTGGCCAACAATCTGAACACCCTGGAAATGGACTTGAGGGAGCACAAGTGAGTCACTGGTAGGCCACCAAGTGGACATTACAATGCTAAAATGTATTTTCTTTCTCCCAGAACTGTGATAGAAACACTGAAGTTGGCCGATCCGGACCGCAAATGCTTTCGTCTGATCGGCGGCGTCCTCTGTGAGCGGACCGTGAAGGAGGTGCTGCCGCAGTTGGTGGAGAACCAGGACTTCATTGCCCAGACCATTACTTTAATCACTGAGGATCTGAGCAAAAAGGGCACGGAGCTGAACAAATTTAAGGAGGAGCACAACATCAAAATCCGTGGCGAGCACCTGGGCGCCGAGGGCGGTAAATCGGATGCGGAGAGCAGCGGCAGCAAGTCTGAGAACCGCAATGTTCTCGTCTCCAACTAGAGGCCCAAGCAAGCAGAGAACCCAGCCTGCGCAGCGTATTTATTGTGTCTATGTATGAAATGAACTCTGCCAAGATTTGCGAACAATAACTCAACCGATCCCGGATCATGGATTGAATACTGAAGTTCTAATGTTATATGTAATTTTTAGCTGTAAGGCGAAGTTCACACGCCCACTCACATCCCAAATCTCTGTCATTCACGCATAACACACCACACCCTACCAAACAACCACACACTGGTCCTGAAAGTAAACAACTTCTGTAACAGAATGAACCACTTGTGTGGGGCTTTATTGGAACGCTTCTCAGGACTGCTCCTGGCGCTGGTAGTCCCGCTTGCCGCCGGACTTGCTCAGCAGACGGATATTGGTGATGCAGATGTCGTGAGACACGGCCTTGCACATGTCATAGACAGTGAGGGCCGCAATGGAGACGGCTGTTAGGGCCTCCATTTCGACGCCCGTCTGGCCGGAGCAGCGGACAGAAGCCTCCAGCCGCACGCACTGTTCTTCGGGAAAGAGCTGTGCCTTCACCTTTACCGAGGACAGCGATATGTTGTGGCACAGGGGGATCAGCTCGGATGTCCGCTTGGCCCCTAGAATGCCGGCCAGTTGAGCCACACTAAGGACATCGCCTTTGGCCAACTCGTTGGCTGCAATGAGCTGAGTGAGTCGCTCCCCCACTATAACGGTGGCTTCTGCTCGGGCCAGTCGCGTGCTGGTTGGTTTTTCGCCGACATCCACCATCTGGGCCTTGCCCTGGGCGTTGACGTGGCTGAAGGTGCTGCAGTGGCGGGCTGCCTGGAGCAGCTGTGAACGATGAGAATGAAGATGATGGTGGAGCAGTGCAGCGCTTGCAATGGGAAATTGGAGACTGGTGTCGGCTAGCCGCCTATGAGTATCATCGGGCGATTCTCCATCTGCGAGAGATTCAGCATGCCTGGGGGAGAATGCTGAAAATGTGAGTACTCCTCTGTGACTCCACTGATGGACTCCATTCAAGCTCACCTGCATGCTGTCGTTTCTTGCGCCGCACTGCGGCTCCGATCAGGTCCACCAGATCCTCCTCAGACACGTCGCTTCTCATGGCGTCCCGCAGGGAGAACTCCTTGTTCCCGAACAGACACACCTTGATGTTTCCGTCTGCGGTGAGTCTTAGCCGATTGCAGGAGCCGCAGAAATGCTCTGTCATGGAGGTGATGAAGCCCACCTGTCCCTTGAACCCCGGCACTGCAAAAGCCTTTGATGTGTCGTTTGGCCCATTTGGCAATGCCTCGAACTCGGGCCATTGACGGCGAATCAGCTCTACCGTCTCTTTGAACGAGATCAGCCTGTCTGTGTGCCATTTGTTGCCGGAGAAGGGCATGTACTCGATGAATCTGACGTCAACGGGCCGATCTCTGGTGAACTCCACAAAGTCGCAAACTTCGTCCTCGTTGAAGTTGCGCATCAGCACGCAATTGACCTTCGGGCGGTAGCCCAGTTGCACGGCAAGATCGATGCCGGCAATGACACGTTCCCAGCCCTTCCGTCGGGTAATCTTCTCGAAGCGGTCCTTTTTCAGTGTGTCCAAACTGATGTTAAGCGAGTCCAGCCCTGCCCTTTGCAGGGGTAGCAGCAGACGGGTCAGTACCAGGCCGTTTGTGGTGATGCCCACATGCTCCAGCTGGGGCAAGGCCTTCATCTCTGCCACCATATCGACAATGTCCCGCCGAACAGTGGGTTCTCCGCCCGTAAGCCGTATCTTCCGCACCCCCTGCTTCACAAAGATGCGGGCCAGACGGATTATTTCCTCGGTGGTCAGAAGATTCGCCTTGGGCTGCAAGGGCACTCCATCCGCGGGCATGCAGTAGTCACCTGAAACACATGTTTTCTGTGAATTTCGCCACAACATTTAATTAAGCCAGACATCCACTTCAGCCCGAGTGGGCCCTGGGCCTGTTATCGTGTCAGCATGGGTGTCGTGTCGCTGATAAACGAACGATTGGCCTAGAACCTGTTGCGGTAGGGCTGGTTGGAAACTTACAGCGCAGGTTGCAGCGTTCCGTGAGCGAAATCCGCAAATAGGTGTGGTGTCGCCCAAAAGTGTCCGTCAGCGGCGAGTCCTATGAAACAGAGGATTAGCTGATTCATTCCTCATTAGAAATGTGGCTGCTAGCACCTGTTTGTTGACTCTCTCCGGCTCAGTTTGCGCACTTGTCGCCAGTTTCAGGGAACCGGTTGCCGCTGCCGAAGCCTTCTGGCGGAGGGGAACCGGTGCTGCAGTCTGGCACAGCAGCCTGTTCGCGTATTTCACCAGAAGACGCATTTGATTGATGTCGTGCTTCAATAAATTAAGCTTACGTAAACCCTTAACTTGCTGGGGGGCTGGATCAAAGCAGGCCGTTTAATAATATTTAATGATAAGCAATTACATATGCTCACGGCAGGGGCGCTTCTTCTTTCAATATCGCTCGGCGGGATCCAATTTCGGCAGCACACGATCCACTCCACTCCACACTCGCCGAGCTTTGTTTGTAAACTAACGGCGCGGCGGGTGATTCTATTGGGGCTTTTGGCATCGCTAAAGCTCCTCCACTTATCATTTTAGTGAGCGTGTGTGCAGCGTACCGGCTAATTGTTGGCATTAGGAAATTTGAAATGGCTATGGAAGAGAAGACACACTCCATTATGAGCTGAGCCGAATTTTGCAAACTGCTTACTTCAGCAAACGGTGATAGCTGCTTTATCAGTACAGGTACATATATTGCATATTACAAAACGTCCACTGCCTACATGCTGTAAATATTAGAATATTGAACACGTCAAAGGTTAAGAAGAAGCTGAGGCATTCCTTATGGCCGTATTTCACTGTACTTCAAAACCGTACAGTCTGAAAACTAATGGCCTGATGACACTAGACTTGGCTAACTTTGCTGCCAGGAGAGAGATAGCTTGATTGACAAAACGAAAAATTAGTGTTCGTATCCGTATCTAAACACGTCTCCCGGCCATTAGTCGAAGAATGGAGGCAATATCTGTGACAAAACAGAAACAGCCAAATTGACACATATATCTCTCTCGCTCTCACCTCCCATAAGGCTGTCCCGGCTTTTGCAGTTTGCGCTGCATGTTTTTCTTGTGACTTTTTGCAGTTAGTGTCTAGTGTCATACGACCATAGCCGATGGACGGAAAATATCGAGTAAATTCGATGACCGCAGGAACAGCTGATCACGCTATTTTGCACTTTGATCGGCCGTTGCTACCAAAACGATGTTGAAACCTACATTCCAAATAACCAGATAAACAATGGACTTTCGAAAAGCCCGTGCCAGGCAGCCGGAAATCGTGCGATCCGTGCAAAAGGATGCTCGATACACCAACGAGCTGGCCGAGGACTTCTCGGATGTCCTACGCCTCACTGGCCCACGAAATTGGATTAAATTCAATCAAATGTGCAAACTGCTGGCGGAGCTTAGTTATCACGGATTCGCCTCGGTAAACAGCCTTCAGACGCTGGGCGAGGAGTACACGGGCATCATACAAGTAGATGGCAATTACAAGCAAATACCCAGTCGACTGGCAAGTCCTGAAAGTGGTTCTTTTCATACAAATCATAGACTTACAATCTCCTTTGTAGATGCAACTTCTTGCCATTGTCCTCGAGTTTGGTGGAGATGCCCTGTTCATCCGATTATTGCAAAAGCTGGACCTGTATATAGCCAATCACGAGGAGATTCGTCCCGAAGCCAAGCTTCAGCTGAAGAAACTCATCCATCGCCTGAAACAGTCGCCCAGCTATATAAAGGCCCTGCACAAGTCGCTCTTTTACCTGAATTCCAGCAAGTACCAGTTGTCCAAGCGCACCACTGGCATCAACTACGTACTTATCCGCCACTGGCTGCAGCCAGAGTTCTCGCTGTACGGCTACAAGATCCTGGGCGTCATCACATTCCTCCAGGTGACCGTCTCCCTGGCCATCAGCAGCTGGGATGCCTGGCGGGAGCACAAGCGTCAGCAGCTAGAGTCCCTCAAGCAGACGGGTAAACGTTTCCTGCATCGTGCATCGAGTGTCAAGTCGTCGAATCACGATGCCCCTCAGTGCATACTCTGTCTGGAGCCGCGCACCAACTGCAGCCTGACGCCATGCGGCCACATCTTCTGCTGGAGCTGCATTCTGGAGTGGCTGGAGGAGCGCGACGAGTGCCCGCTGTGCCGCGAGTCTCTAAAGAAGTCGCAAGTGATACAACTACAGAATTACGCCTAGGATTATATTTGTATTTTGATTTATTTAAAACAATTATATGTATATACATTGTATACGAGGGTTTTGTGTTTGGTGTGTGTCTTCATTATATATAAATTCTTAAATCTATTTCTATTTACAATAAGCTATATGGTCAAACAGTCAACGTCTATATAATATCTAGATGAACAGTGCGGCTGAAGATCTGCTTACGACGCCGCGACTCGTACGCCGAGCGCGCCTCTGCCGGCGACTCGAAGGCGACCCTGGTATCTCCGGTGGGTTTCCCATCGTCGTTGAAGCGGCGGATAATATCATCGGGACTCAGCTTGTAGTCACTGAAGAAGCGTAGGATGTCCTTCAGCTCAGCCTTAAAGGGGACATTACGCATGGCCACCACACAGCCGGGACGATTGAATTTGTCGGGAATCGAAGAACTGCTGCTGCTGCTGTTGGACACATTCAGTCCTGGCGACAGGCTTCCACTGCCGGCCCCGCTTGGGATGATGGGAGGATCTGGCCTGGCGAACGGATTAAAATGCTGCTTTTGTGAGCTGTTGCTATCCTCATCCTCCTGCCGCTGCCGCTCCTGTGGCACCTGCTGCTGCTGCTGTTGCTGTTGCTGTTGGTTGTCAAAGCGACTGGGACCACGGCGCCTAGACGTAGGCTGTGCAGACCCCTGCCCGCTGGCACCACCGTTGTCGCTCTGCCGTGGCCCATTGCCCCCGGGAAAATAGTCCATAAACGGCTTGTTCATGCGATCCGCAATCTCCTGCGGCGTGATGGCCACCACCCGCAGCCCACGGCCACGGAATCGCCGATTGTGGAACTCCCGAATGGCCTGCTTGGCATTGGGCCCATCGGCAAATTCGATAATGAACTCACCTGAGCTCTGATTGCGATCGTTCAACAGCATTTCGATGTGTTCGATGCGCAGATTCTCCCGGGAGAAGAGTTCCCCCAGATCGTTGACCCTTGTGGCATACTCACAGTTATGAATACGCACGAAATTATCCTCCTGGCGGGGAGGACGCACTGACTCATTCTGGGGGGGCATGGGCATGCCAAAGGGACCGCCACCGTTGTGGTACCGATTAATCGATGCGTCCATGGGTCCTCCTCCTCCTCCTCCTCCATTGTGGTTCTGGTTTTGGTTGCGGTTATGGTTATCCATAATGTTGTTGTTGTTATTGTTATTATTAAATGGAAAATTGGAGCCGCTGTTTTGTTGCTGCAATTGCTGCAGCTGCTGCTGGACAACAAACGGCATTATACCGTTACCCATTGGTCCAGTGTTGCCAAACGGTTGCATGTGATTCTGCTGCAGCTGTAGTTGTTGTTGTTGTGGATGCTGCTGGTCGCGAATTTGATTGTCATCCGCATTGCGTCGCCGCGGATCGCTGTTGTACCTCGCCTGCATGGCGCTCTCCTCGCGCTGCTGCTGTTGTTGCTGTTGCAGCTGGAGCTGCGCCTGCACCTCCTGACGCCTCTTCTGATCTTTGAGCAGCTCCTCCCGCTGGTCGGCCTCTTCCTTCAAGAGCTGCTCGTTGGCCCGACGCTGCTTCTCCTTGGCCTGCAGCATCTCCGCCTGGCTGCTGGGGCGCACCCGCAGCTGCCGGAAGCCTATGTAATGCCGCGATGTGTCCTCCAGGGCCGACAATGCCTCGGTCTCGCGTGCAAACAGCACAAAGGCCACAAACTCGCGGCGATTGTTGGGAGACGGCGCTAGCAGGATATCCACAATGGTGCAAGTGGCGGAGAACATCTTCATGATGTCCTGCTCGGTGGTCAACTGCGGCAGATCCTCCACGTACAGGACATTGAAGCTGGGCAGGCTGCCGCCACCCCGATCGCCGGCATTGCGACCAACGACATCTTGAGGCGGCTGGTGCTGCTGGCTACGCGATTTCTCATCGGCCTGCTCGAATTCTGCATCCCCGATGGGCACAATCTGCACCTGGCGATCGCGGAACATGGTGTTGTTGCGCTGCAGCGCCTTCTGCGCACTGGACACCCGCGAGAACTCTATGTAGGCCACTCCAGTCCGACTGCCATTCACAGTCATGATTTTGATGCCATTGTGGGGTATATAGAGACCCTGGAAGTACTTGCGCAGATCGCTGTAGGAGGTGTTCTGGCACATGCCACTGATCTTCACATAGCAGGTGTCGGCCACCGCCGAGGACATGCCGCCACCGCCGCGAGGGCTGAGACCGCCCCCTCCACCACCTGGTGATCCGCCCACAGAAGGCGATAGCTTGGCTGCCGTCTGCTGCTGGAGGAGCACCTGCTGCTGCTGCTGAAACAACTGCGGATAGATCTGCGCATACGGATTGACACTGGCAAACGCAACGGGCTCCTGCGCTGGCACCATCGCCTGCGCCTGCGGCTGCCTCTGGACCTGTGCCTGCTGCTGTCCCTCCAATTGGGCAGGACTGTTGGACGCTGCTCTGGCTGCCGCCTGCAGAGCGGCAATCAATTTCTGTGCATCGGGGGCCAGTGGCGGTGCTGGGGCTGGTGCCGGGCCATTGGCACTGCTCATATTGTAGTTATTTGTGATATTATTGGTGGTATTGCTGGTCGTATAGTTCTGCAACGAGGGCAGAACGGATGGCACGCCCAGGCCGAGGCCGTGGCCCATTCCCATGCTCATGCCCTGAATACTCCCCAGTCCCGGAAGACTCACGGCGGCAGCAGTCTGCGGGGGATTGGCCCAGGGTGACAGACCGCCAGCAACACCACTCAAGCCGCTGGATTGGAGCTTTAGCTCGCGCTCATTGCTATCGCCACGCTCTAAGCGACGCTTACGGATAGCACGATCACGCTCTCGGTCACGTTCAAGCTCCCTTTCACGTTCGCGTTCTCGCTCACGCAGCTCACGATCGCTGTCCTCAGAGCTGGAGGATCTACTGCGACTACGACTGCGGCTCTGGCGGCGATTCTGGCTGCCACTGGCACTGGCACTGCCGCCTGTGACCTCCGCTAGGACAATGCCGGCCTGCTGCTGGTAGGCCAGAAAAGAGGGAACCTCAGCCTTGCTCTGGCTTTGGCTGAGGAAACTGTTTAGGCCACCAATGATCGGTGGCTGTGGTGTGGCCACAGGGACTTGCATGGGTACGGGCACGGGCACAGGCACTGGTGCCGGGGCAACGACTGGTGTGCGTGCCGTCTCGATGACCTTTTGCATTTCAGCCCGCGATGAAAGCAGCAGGCGCACCTGGATCTCCATGAGTTTCTCGCGATCCTTCAGCATGGCGCAACGGGCATCCTCATCGGTACTAAAGGT